ATTTTAAGGAAAAAGTCAGAATTCTGAGATTAAAGACATTAAAGTCAGAATTCTGACCTTTTTTCCCCATATTGAACTGAAATAATATTTAAAAATCAGTTTACTTTTATTATTTTTTTCAGTGGCACTAATCCTCTTCCGTAGTATCAGAATTCTGAGATTAAAGTCAGAATTCCGAGAAAAAAAGTAAGAATTTTAAGGAAAAAGTCAGAATTCTGAGATTAAACTCAGAATTTTGAGATTAAAGACATTAAACTCAGAATCCTGACTTTTTTCCCATACTGAACTGAAATAATATTTAAAAATCAGTTAACTTTTATTTATTTTTTTCAGTGGCACTAATCCTCTTCCGTAGTATCAGAATTCTGAGATTAAAGTCAGAATTCCGAGAAAAAAAGTCTGAATTTTAAGGAAAAAGTCAGAATTCTGAGATTAAAGTCAGAATTCTGAGATTAAAGACATTAAAGTCAGAATTCTGACCTTTTTTCCCCATATTGAACTGAAATAATATTTAAAAATCAGTTTACTTTTATTATTTTTTTCAGTGGCACTAATCCTCTTCCGTAGCATCCTGTGAGAGGGGCTGTATAAATTAAGATTACTTACTACCTCAATGTTTTTTCTTATTGCTAGAATTTACACATGGTGAACGTGAAATCATCCCATAAATCTTCCCAGTGTGTTTCTCTGCGTTTGTTGACAGTAAAGCTGTGAATAAAAGCTGCGCTCCGGCCTCAGGATGGAGGCCTGTCTATGCAAAGCGGACCGTGACACACTGAAGGGTTACGCCTAAAGGATGCTACAGGGCGTAACACAACACTGAGCAGCGTCTGCAGCCGGAATAATAATCCCACATCAAGGATCTACCGGGAGCTCAGCGTTCTGCTGCTTACATGCAAACAGCTTCACTGCATTATTATTATTATTATTGAACTATATTCATAATGCGCATCTCCAAACACAATCATCTGATGTCAGCGCGCAGCTGCAGCTGAGGCTCCCAGGACTGGGAGAGAGAAATGAAAGCAGGCCCTATCTATTGTCTAAAAAATAATAATAATTTTAAAAGTTTACACACTTTAAAATATATATATATATATATCAGTGTTTGTCTCGACTTACTGTGAGTCCGGTGCCCAGAACGATCACATCATATTCCTCATCCATGTTGTCTCACCGCCTCTCCCGTCTCGCCCTCTTTTTTTTTTTTTTTTTTTTTGCCTTGGAAATGAAAGGGTGCTGAAGCAGAGGATGGCTTTAAGTCCACAGAAAACTAAATAATCTGAGATTAATTCCTCTCTTTTCTCCCTGGTTGCTGCTTTATAGAGCTCCTCAGTGCTATGTGTTATTTATTAATCATTGGGCATTAATGATCAATGGGAAACAGCCCACACTGTCACCGGCGTAGACGACCAAAGATGGCCCTGCACGAAGAACAAACAAGGACAGTGTCGCTCCGCGTCAGGAAATAGTGCGCATCCTCCTCTCTCTCCCTCCCTCTCCCTCTCTCTCTCTTGCTGTTTAGAAATGATACGTCAGCGCATCCACCCTGTTGTGAGTGGAGTCTTCCCTTCAAAAAGCAAAACCAGCCTGTTTTCTTACTGGAAAACTGGTTAACTCTGAGAATATATGATGAAATATTTCTGTTGGTCTATAAACTACTGAATGGTTCAGCTTCACAATACTAAGACACATTTATTTAGTCATTTTATATAAAAAAAATGTTTTAAAAAAATGCTATGAAAAACAGTAATGTAAACATGTATAGTTACATGAATGTATAGTTACAGTAATAACATTCCAGTTTGTTTGTTTTTGTATTGTTTTTTATAAATTTAATACATTACAGACTTGTCAATCAACTAGGGGCGGATTTAGGAAATTTGGGGCCCTAGGCAAAGACAGGCAGGGGGCCCTTCTTATTTGTAGGTTACTGTTCACCTCTGGATTTTGAAATGCTGTCATGGCTTATAAATCCTGTTTTTGTTTTTTGTTGAAAATGTTTATTTTCTTTTTAATTTTAACTAAATATGTGTTTTTGAATCAATTTGACTGTATGATCTGGTTGAACTGTAAATTGCCTTTAGATAACTTCTGTTGTGAATTGGCGCTATAGAAATAAACTGAATTGAATTGAATTGAAGGTATGTAGGCAAAGACAGGCAGGGGGCCCTAATAATTGAGAATACAACACATAAAACAGCCCCATTATGCAGATACAGATATTTTTGATAGAATAGACATCCATTATCTGTTCTAGGTTGTGTTCCTCTCTTCTTGTCCCTTTTCTTCTTGTTTTCCTCTCTATATTTTTTACTCAGCTGACCTTTCATGCTGTCTCTATAGGAATGAAAGATTTTTTCCAAGCACTAAGCTCACTTAGCTGATTGCTCCTTCCTGTGTTTCCAAAAAGGCCAAAGTAAATAACTCAGTCCTTCTTTTCACTGTAGACAAGCCATGATCTGCTTATCTGTTCTCCATTTTTCATTTGGATGAAATAATAGCTGCATGAATCATGACAGCAGACAAGATAGAGGAGAGCAGGAGGCGGGGTTACCAATCTACTTGCTCTGGAGAGCAGAGTTCGCTGCTTTTAGATGTTGTCACCAAATGTGCACAAATAAGTAATAGCTGTATTAACCATACATGTAAACAGAGTTTTAAGGGGCCCCCAGGAACTTGGGGCCCTAGGCAACTGCCTAGTTTTGCCTGATGGTAAATCCCCCCCTGCAATCAACAAACCACACCTCTCAGGATCATATCTACTCTGCAGATCCAGAAACACAGCCAAACACAGAGAAGCATGCTCCACTAATCTGAAATAAACTACTAGAAAAGTGTAAAACAACTTTAAAGTTGCTTTAAATCAAGATCTAAAACGTATTTATTTTAAGTGGCCTTTGACAGAGCTGTCTAAACATTATCAGCTAAGTTTACAACTTTCCTTTCAGTTTTTTATTATGCAGTTTATATATTTGTAAATAAAATAATCTCTGTTGCCTTTATATCACTGCAATGTACCTTTTTTATGTATGAAAGTTTTGGATTGTATAGCCACTAAAATGACCTATAGGAATAAACTGTCCCTGTTGATTTCCAATAGTTTTAAATGAGAATTGATTTTGTATCCAGTAGACTTTGTTCATTTAATCAAGTAAATGTTGATCAAATCCCAATTAGGTGTTTTGCTTTGTATGGAGGGGTTGTTTATCACTGAAAGGATTAGATTTATTATCAACACTATCAAGATGGTCTTTGTTTAGGACCAAACATGGAGAAGCAGCTTTTAATTCTGACGATCCGCTAATCTTGAATAAACTTTCCTAAAACCATCAGTAGCTCTAAATCCAGATTAAAAACTTATTTGTTTAAAGGTGACCTTTGACTGTGCAATCTAAACATTATCAGCTAAGTTTTCGGACCAACCTTCCTTTCATTTTCTTATCAATTATTTTATCATATTATATAAATATAATCATCTAACTTTTGACTTGTATTCTTTTTCTAACTATTTGCATTCCTTAATGAGCTAATAACACTTATGTAAATCCCATATAGGTATCTTTTTCTTCCATGTAAAGCGTATACTTGCCTTTGTTATTATCATTACTGATGTTATAATTACTGGTGTTATCCATCAAATGATCAATTGTCTATGAGTATAAATAATAAACAAAATAACAAGTGAATCGACTCATTTATATAGCTGACTGTGAGTGCAGAGCCTTATATCCTTCAAGCAGCTTTACTAAGAGCCCATGAAAAGGAACTGCTTTCTGCAGCCTTCTGCCACTCGCAATATGGCGGCTACGTTCTCGTACTATCCGGATGTATTCACTGGTCTACGTTCATTCTTCCCATCCAACAACACAATGGCACATTCACGACACCCCGCTTGGAGTTACAGCCTTTATGGTCAAAGTTTAGCTTGACTGCTCCGCCTGGAGTTCATAGTTTTATATCGGAACCAAAGTGTTTTGTTTCGTATGTTCAGCTTCCTTCCCAGTTGTAGTTGCAGCGATGCCTGCGTGGATAGATGGTGTAGTATCCCTCCGCCCACCACAGCTGGGTGGATGGGAGTTGGTTTTAGACTGAAAACATGCCTGCTTTTACAAAAGAATAAAAAATAAAACACTCATCACGCTATTTAAGATGTGTTTTTTTTATTAATTAGATTTATTCTATATTTGTGTCACGATAGATGAACATATGGAGACACCTGTGCCCTGGTGGTAATACCTAATCATTTTAGAGAGCATCAGCACCATGGATAGCTGCCAGGTGTACCCTAACTCTTTTAAAAAGCTCGCATGTTAAACATAAAAACCACATTAGGAGCTGTTGCTGGTGTTGTGTTACTCATTAATATACCATAAGGCTGGTTCAGCTTTAATTAAGGCAGCAGCGGTGCTCAGCGCCGCCATGAAACCTGAAACTTTGCTGGAGCTTTAAGTTAAACTAAAGCAGCAGAAAAAGGATTCAGTCACAGCTGTTCGTTTGTGTTGAAAATGAGCCCTGAGGAAAGCAGCAGGAAGTCGTTTCTTTCCTAGGAGCTGCGCACATGACTGTCAGCTGGTTGGAGTCACGTGACGCTCAGCAGTGCGGAAAAAGAAGAGGAAAATGGCAGAGTCCATAAAGTTTCTCCATGGAGCAGTAATGGCTTTTATCTTCTTATTCGCTGCCTTTTTGTCTTCTGTGAGCAGCACAGCGCAGGTTCCGCTTCTAGTCTGGTCTAACAGGAGGTATTTGATTCTTATTATTTATGTTTTATTAAGTTATGTAGCCAATATTCATTGGAGAGCTAACCTGTCTGTCATGCTAACGCTAACACTTTTAGCTTTTTATTTCCTAAAGTCAAACTAACGTCAATAAATGATCGAAACATTTATTCTCCTATAAGGAAAACTGTTTTTTTGGTTCCTCTAAACATAAATGTATTACTAAAGAGTCTTTTCAATTGTAGCAAGAGGTGGCAGAGTACCAAAAACTGTACTTTAGTAAAAGTAGTAGTACTTCATTATGTAAAAGTATTTTTTTAAAAGGTAACTTTACTAAGTAACTCATCATAACCCCTGATATGTAACATGATGTAATAAAGAGAGACCGAAATACAAATTTATTTTGCAACTTTTTTTTAAATACTACAATAAAATCAGAAAAACAAAGAAATAATGTAATTAAAAAATAACAGTTCCATGCAGAAGAAACAGCTTTCTATCCAGCATCTCTAGTGGAAACTTTAAATCATTACTGTATATCCGTTTGACCTCACAGTACATTAAAGTTATAGGGAAGTCATATTTAAATGTCAAATCATTCTGGCTTAAACATGGATATAAATGTACTATTTATCAGACTATATTGTCCCAAAAGTTAGAAAATTTCTATTTAAAAAAAAAAAAATCCTGTCTTAAAATCTGTGGGGTTTTTTCTTTTATCTTATGCAAGACAGTCAGTTATACGTCAGCCTGAACACCTAAATTCCACCAATCAGATATCAACGTTCTTCTGTCAATTTTTTTCAGTCATAGCATCTTGATTCATATGTAATATACGCAACGGTTGAAATCAGAAATCAGAATCCTCTCCTTTCCCATTGAGTTCCGTCCCAGTGTTCACGGGGATGGACGTCTGTGTCGTAGAGCTAACAGAACTGGCAGCGTTGCGAGGCAAGGGCTCAAACATGTACGGCTGGAAGCCTTCTACACCAAACCAAGCTTCTGCCGCCCTGGCGTCCTCTTCCACAACATCTTCGTCCCCGCTTTCCTCCTCTAAATAAAAAATGGATGACAGAGGAGACTCATCCACGACCTCCGACACTAAACTCTCCTCCTCTTGCATGTTTCCTCTGTCCATAGCGTTCCTTGACAGCGTCGTTTCTAAGTCACCAATTTAGTGCTACTTGGTCCCAATGGAATTTCCCATTGGGAAGCTGCTAGCACTAAGTTGCTAACTGGTTAGCAAGGTGCTTCCGAAGTGTGTGAAGTCGGGCATCACTCGGGAGAATTCTGATATGCAACGGTTGGAACAGCCGCTTCCCTACGACTTTAAGTAAGGTTGGGGTAAAAAATGAAAATTAATTTATTTGATTATTTAAACATTCTCACCATGGATGGAGTAGCCAATAGCAATATCGTGTTATGATATCAAGTAAAAGCAGAAAGTATTGTGTTGTAAAGAAACTACCCCTAAAAGTTTTTTTGTCAGAAAGTTGCTCAAGTAACTTGTAACTGTAACTACTAACTAGCCACCTATAAAAGCAATAGGATGTTGTTAACATGCACAGTTTATTCTTACCGTAACTCCATGTTCTCATGAATTTAATCAGTGGCTTTTTAGCATAAAAGTATTTGAAACAGGTTACAGCCCATCCATCCATCCATTTTCCGTCACACCTATCCCAGCTGGGGTCGCAAGGGGCGCTGGTGCCTATCTCCAGCTGTCTACGGGCGAGAGGCGGCGTCCACCCTGGACAGGTCACCAGTCCATCACAGGGCAACCTAACAGGAAAACAACCATTCACTCACACCTAATTGTAGAATTTAGAGAAAACAATTAACCTAACAGTCATGTTTTTGGACTGTGGGAGGAAGCTGGAGTACCCAGAGAGAAGTCACACATGCTCCATGCTGGAAGACTCCAGACCGAGAATCGAACCCTGAGACGGTCTAGGGCAGCAGTGCAACCCACTGTTCCGCTTAGCAGTCTGATAAAAGACAAAAAAAAAGTCTACTCATAGGAAGACAGTGGCATTGATTGAAGGAGTTTGCAACCAGAGGGTTGACTGTTCAAGCCAGGCTGTGGCTTTCTGGTGTAGTTGTGTCCTTGGGCCAGACACTTCACCTGCATTGTCTACTGATGGTTGTCAGAGGGCCCGCTTCTGTCAGTGAGCCCCAGGGCAGCTGTGGCTACAATGTAGCTCACCACCATCAGTGTGTGAGTGAATGACTCTATGGGCCGGATTTATCAAAGGTTTGCGTGTATTAAAACGTGAGCTATTTCACTGCGCACGCAAAAAAATGTACAAACTGATCTATCAACAGCGTGCTAAAAGGATTTGGTCTTTAAAACGTGCTAAATAGCGTCTCTTATCCATTTAGTACTTTTTCTGCAATGAATATTCAATATAGGGCGTTTACACGCAAAAGTGCGTCTTGTGGGAGGATAACATGTAAATATATTAATTTAGCACTCGCAAAGTGATTTATCAAACCTGAAAGCAATTTTGCTAACGGTATCTGACTCTATATTTAACACGTTTCAAAAGAAGGTGCAAATGGTCTGTATGCGTAATTGCGCACACATGGCAGCGGTTATTGTCGCAAGAAGGAGAAATCGAACTGAAGCAAGGAGACGCAGAGAACGCATTTTTTCACTCCGTGTGAATATTTTTGGAATGAACGAGGAAACGATCATCAAAACATATCGTTTATTCAGCATTGCCATTTTGGAGCTGTTGGGGGAACTCCGAATGGATTTGGAGCCAGGCACAAGGAGGACCCACGCAATACCAGATATCACGAAACTCCTTGCAACATTGCACTTTTTTGCATCTGGGATCTCCCAATCTCGTTTTTCAGAAGTGCTGTCCGACGTTCTAAATGCCATGTCGCCCTGACGCCCTACCAGAGAGAACCCCGACCTCTGCGCCTGTGGAGCAACATGCCAATGCAGTCATCTTATCCACAGTCACTTCTTGTGAGCCATTTGGTATGTGCATTTTTCTACAGGCCGATAAAAAACACCTGTTTTATTTTTGTTTGTGTGTTTTTTTCTTACTGCGGTGAAGTAGAAATTCAGCCACATACCACCTTAGGGAATAAAGGTTGCCAAAGTTTATATATATATATATATTTCTTTTTTTGGAGGGGGTGGTGTCACTGTAAGATTAAAATTTCTTAATGCACTAGTTTGCACAAACTACAAACTACTTTGCCGCAAACCACAAAACGCGCAAAACCATCATTTAAATAGGGCGTCTCCAACAGTTTTGCGCCTGCCACCAGTTACGCAATCGCTCTTGTTAAATCACCCGCAAACCATGGTTCAGCCCCTCGCGCAAAATTCCACTTTGCGAGCGCAAATTACTGCACGCAAAATTGGATCTTGATAAATCCGGCCCAATGTAGTAGAAAGCACTTTGGTCAACTCCTCTGACTTGAAAAAGTGCTATATAAGTACAGGTCATTTACTGATCTTTCAGGAAATCAAACGCAGGTTTGCAATAAGCAGTCAGCAAAACGTCCTTTGCTTTCCAAGAGTAACGAGTAATGTTTGTTTTAAAAGTGTAAGAAATAGAAAGTACAGGTACTTGTGGGAAACTGTAATGAGTAGAAGTCAGAAGTAGGAAGAAAAATAAGTAATGGAGTAAAGTATAGATGCCTAAAAAGTGTACTTAAGTACAGTAACAAAGTATTTGTACTTTGTTCCTTGACACCTCCTTTTTTTTTGTGACAGGATGAAAAAAAGTTTAACAGCTTAATAATAATATTATAAATGATTAAGTTATCATCTGGGTTTCCTCAAACTATTGTGTGCAAAAATAAATGAATACATTTTAAGAGGATATTCAGTCCTATCCATCAATAACCTGCAGTAATTGCACAGCCAAACGACGAGGGCTATCCCTCCATGTCTCCTAAGATGAAGGTTTAGCATTTAGCTTCTGTATTTGTTTATCTTCTTCCAGCTTCGCTCCTCTGGCTTCTCCTCTGGCTGGACACATCGTATCCATGAAGGAGCTGTCTGCTGCCCTCAGCCCCGCCTTTGGCTCCCCCTCCCAGACGGTGCTCCTGTTCCTGCAGGACAAGGTAGCTGCTCACACACTGGCTCTATTTCCTTCTTTTTCCTCCCATTAAACAGTTTGCTGGTCATAGTCATTCAAAAAAAAAAAAACAACAAACCACTGGATTTTGTTTCCCAGTTTGAAGACGTTTCACTTCCCATCCAGAAATCTTTCTCAATTTAAAATGTCTGGATTAGTGTTGAATTCCAGAGTTTTATATAGTAGTCCAACAAAGGCCTTGTAATTAGGGCTGTGAATCTTTGGGATTCCTACGATTTGATTTAGAATCGATTATTGGGGTCACAATTCGATTTTTTTTCAGATTCTTTTAAATCCAAACGATTCGAAACGAAAATATTTACAATTCAAAACGATTCTCAGGATCTATTCCAGTCTGCTGGCATGAAAGACTTTATAATTGTAAATATTTTATTTACCTATTGCAATAATGTAAACACCGAAAGGTAAATCCAAGACAACATGTCTTGGATTTATCCAATTCTACCAACAACTCTGGGTGATGTCTTTCGAGATGAGAACGGGAATTTGAAGTACTCCCGAAATACTTAACTTTACCGTTGTAAGCATGAGTCATGTCAAGCGCTTTCTTACCCGGGTTGAAGGTAAAATCAAAGTTTTTCCAAATGGTTGCTTTTAAAGACAGCGGAGGCGGTTGAATTTCATTTTCTTCGTCCTCCTTACTGTAGCAGCAACAAACACAGTAGCTCACACAACATTACACACCACTCTGTAGCCTGCTAGGCTAACGCTTGCATGCCTGTGCATAGCTCACGCTGCTCATTGGTTTCGGCAAACACTACGGTGCCTGATAAGGCACATCCGCACCCACAAAAAAAAAATCGTTTTTAAAGAAAATGAGAATCGATTCTGGATCTTTAAATGTTAGAAACGCGATTTGAGCTCAAATTGATTTTTTTCTTCACCCCTACTTGTAATGGCTTAGAAAACATGCACATTGAAACTGGAAAACTAGCTCCACCCTTAATGTTGGGAGTCGTTGAGGTTGTTATTGGCCTGCAAGTTGATAAATGGCTGTCATTGGGGTCTTTAATGGAGGGGAGAAGAGCCCCCATGATCCTCTCTGCTGTTCTCACTATTTATTTGATCATAATTGATAAATGGAGCAGGTTTCCCATTGGTCCTTAAAAAGCCTTAAAAGGCATTTAATTTTTCAAAATAAAACTAAGGCCTTAATTGGTATTAAAATGTCTTAAATCAGTCTTTCGTAGGTCTTAATTTTTAAAACATCATATATAGGATTATTTTTATTACAATTTATTTTTGTTATCTAATTAAAACATTAAAATTGACAATTTATTTATTTTTTTTTTTAATTAAAAAATAACAGTTCGCCATTATTGGTTCCGTCCCGATAGCGGAACCAATAAAGCGTTGTTGCGGCCGGGACATTTGGGAGATGCACCATTAACTTTTTGTCTGGAAAATATGAGCAAGTGTAAATGTAACCAAAATTGTCTCCAGCCAAGAGTTTTCTCCGTGGCTAAAACCAGGGAACAGACATGAGGCTCAGTGGATTTTGTGCAAGAAGTCATTGAAGCTCAGAACGATGGGAATTAAGGCAGTGGAGTCACACATGCGAAGCACGAAACACAAAGCGTCAAAATGGAGTTACAGAGAAACAGCCGGTATTTCTCAGTTTAGTTCCACCCTTGTCTCTGCAACGCCTCCACTTATCACCAAATCAAACATACTAAGAAAACCATACAAAGAAAAATAGCTGCAAAAAAGACTTAGCACTGGTTATGTTGGGGCTTTAAAACTGATTTGTTTTGTTCCCTGCTAAAACAAAGTTTGTCAATTCAGTTAAATAATTGTTAAAATATATCTGTCATTTGTGTGTTTTTAGCTTTCTTCCTGTATGGGAAGCTTTTCAACATTTGAAACATTAGTGCAGTGGTTTATGTTAAAATAAACCTTTGGGATAAGTTGTCGCAAGCAGGTTTTTCTTGTGAATTTGGTCTTCAATTTTTATTTCAAGTGGCATTAAAAAGTCTTAAAAAGTCTTGAATTGAACTTGCCTTATGCTGTAGGAACCCTGAATGGAGAGAGGGGCAATGCTTTATGTAAACTATGAGCTGCTGTATCGCTCTGTCTCTGTGTTATACCTGTTATACCTTTAAAAATGGAGACAAAATTACTCCAACTGCAGAGATATAAATATTCAAATAAAAAACACCCTCCTTCCCTGACATAGATGTTCAACAGAAAACGAAGCAGAAACACAGAGAGGATACAGAGGAACAGGCTCATTTGTGGCGTGACTGGGAGCTATTACTGTACTTCCCTTTTTTCAGGGTTTATTCATGTGGGGAAACGTCTCTGTAGGCGACTCGCCCTCAAAAACTTTCATAATAACCATTTAATTGTATTTATTATAAAATTTGTCTTTTTTTATATTCAGTTAAGCAAAGATGACTTTACTCGGTTTGGAGGAGTGTTTGGAAACAAGCAGGAAGGCGTCTTTAGGAACCTCGAGGTAGGTTTATTCGGTGCGTCTGCTATGAGCTAATTACTCACAGGCTAAATATTAACCCCACGCGTTTTTTTCCAGGCGGCGCTCCAGTCATCTTCCTCATCGAGGATTTTTCCTGCAGTGGAGTGGACAGGAGAATCCGCCATACCCGCTCTTCTGCAGGAGAAGCTAGGTGCTTCACCCCTGCTGGTTGATGCAGACACCCTGGAAAACCTGAACCTGAACACATCAGTCAACAACCTGCTGCTGATCAACCTGCCGTACTGTAGCAAGTGAGATTAATTTCTACCTGTTATTAGTTTTATACCCAGAATTCTAGCTGATAACATCTCTCTTGTTTTGCAGCTCACCCGAATCCTGCAAAAAGATCCTCTCTAACAACGGTATAGTGAAACTGTGTGGAGGAGTAAATGTGGCCGAGATTAGGAGCAGAATTTTAGACTGATTTCAGTTTTTGTCAACAGATGAGATTATAGGAAAAGTTCAGAGTTTCCTGAAGGCCAAAGGTGTTTCCTACACGGCGATCTACACAGGGCTTCAGCCGTCACAGGTAAGATCTCAGTGCCGTTCGTATGGTGAGCAAAAACGGCAAAGTCGGTAAAACTTTATCCGTAAATCTTTCTGTAACTTACAGGCGATTTCAGAGCCCTCTTTGTTAAACCAGGGAGTGGGCCGCAGCTTGTTACAAACCCCTGGAGTTAATGTCAGCCAAATGCCGATAACGTTTAACGACTCGGTAGGGTACTGCATTATGCTCTGGGCCCAGAAACTAGAAATCCGCGCTCCAGACAAACCAGAGTGGATCGATCTCGCTACGCAAAACTATACAACAGCAGGGTCCCGTTGTAACACAACCGATTCATTGTAAGCCAGCTTATTTTTTTTAACTGGTTTGATATTATTAATTATTTACTTAAACCTGTCAATTTTTTCCCACCTCAGGCTTGTGCTTAACTATGCTGACTACATTTTGAGGTAAGACAATAAACTGGAGCAACGGTTTGGACATTTGTAACACTCTTTTGGTCTTAGTATTTGTTTTTTAATCGGGATTTGTGTTTATTTCTGTAAAGACTAATGTAGAATTATTAATTGGATCCATTAGGTGTTTAAAAAAAGTTTCGGAGCAGATATTTGACTGAATTTATGTTTCCTTTTCTGCCCAGTAGACTAAAGACTAGATTTCTTTATTTCTTATTTCTTTTTTTTAACCAGCAAGGTGATTTCTTTCTGTATTTGTCAAGAAATAAATAGCAGCGATTGATTCAGGATTAAATCTAACGTTAATTGATGTTGTCAATCACCAAACAATTAAATGATTCGCAACCATTTTTTTTTTTTTTTTTTGAAACCTGATTTTTGTATCTCATATTCAAACATAAAGGGCCAAGTATTTTCTTAAATAACTGAATTAAAAATAGAAGTATAGCTTTATATTTTATTATGAAATAAATTTGTTTAATAAAAACAAAACAGCAACCTGTTGCGTTACTGAATACAAAAAGTTGAGTGGGCGGTCGGGGTACAGTAATATCTTTTTCTGGAGTTTTTCCACAATATATTGATAATAGTGATATTTATGGGCTAAATAACAGGATATGTCTCTACATGTTTACATTTGCAAACCTCCCGCCAGGAGGAGCTGCTGCTCCCTCGTCATTTTTTTCCGCACAGATCTGGCCTCGTAGTTACAAATTTTCCAAGGTGTTCCGTGCGTCTCATGAATGCATTGTGAGGGACCGAGCCAACCAAGCATGAGGTCACAGTGGTGATTGTCAAAAACCTGGGTTTTATTTCCCCAAAGTAACAATAATCCAAACAAAAATTTCAGGGCCCTTAAAAGAGGTCAAATGAAGAGACTAACTAAGGGCAAAAAAATCAATTTCAAACATATCAAACCTCAAACTAACTAAACAAACAAAAAACTGTCCTGACACACAGCAAACAAAGGGGACTTAAATACTGGCTGATCAGACCAGACTGACACACTTAGGAAGAGGTAGGGAGAACATCTACACCAAATTAACAAAAAATAACTAAACATTTAGCTTAAGGATTAAACCTCAAATGACAATCATTAAACAAATTAACAAAATGAGCAAATCACAAAAGTAAGAAGAAGAAATGATGCAACATATTTAAAATGTTGAGTCCATGGTCTTCCCCCATAGTGGAACTCCAGATGGTACCACCCAATCAGTCCATGATCATGTCAGCCACATTCTTCCAGTTGATTGCACTCCCACAACACCAGAAAAGAAAGCAAAAAATATATTAAGCATTTGACAAAATTAAATAAACAAAAGTTAACCAAATCTGCGCGCTACAATTGGAACTAATGTCTTCAATATTGTCAAAATAAACAAACCATATTTATTTATGCTAGTGTGATTTAAAACTTATGAAAAAGTGGTTGTGTGTGTGGGGTTACTGACCATGTAATCATCACATGCATCAAGCATAAACCCAGCTTTAAGCAGATGAGCTTTGACGCAGTTGTCATGTCAAAGGGATGATGGAGAGCCCACAGTAAAATCTGACCTATTGCTGTCTAAGAGAGAAACAGGAATAAGCACTGAAAAACAGGCCCAATTCTGTCATCTATAATCTAAGGCAGCGGTCCCCAACCTTTTTTGCACCACGGACCGCAATATGTCAGACAATATTTTCACGGACCATCCGGGGGGGGGGAATACGATCAGGTAAAATGATACGACTGGCATAAAATCAAATACAAACAGCATAAAAATAAAACAAGCCGGTCCCATCGTGGCGTAATCGGAGACAATGACAGACGAAGTGTGCTCCTGATGTCCAGTCTGCTCCGTAGCTTTGTTTTGGTCGCTGTAACCGCAGAAAATCCCGCTTCACAAAGATAGGATGTTATAGATAGGATGAGTTGAACTGAATTAACCTGTGTCAAGAGGCACAGATGCACTGACTGATGTAATTGGGAGAGAATACCTCAATTTTTTACATTTTTCAAAATAAAACATCACTCAGACTCTGATCGTCGATAAATTATATATATATACTTTTTTCTGTGCTGCCCGGTACCAAATGACCGACGGACCAGTACCGGTCCGCGGCCCGGTGGTTAGGGACCTCTGATCTAAGGTGTTGATGGCAGCAGCTCTGCTCATATTTTCTTCCAGTATCGGCGTCGCAGCCAAAGAGAACCCTGCTAGACGAAGCTACTTTAACAGGAAAAAGCAGAAAGATAATGTTGGGAGATTGAACTAACGAATACTGCAGAATTAGAGAAGAAAGAATGATGAAAAGTGGTCTTTATGTCTTCCAGCAGCCTAAGCCTATAGCAGCATAAATACAGGAAATATAGCTGCCATTGTTCCAGGCAAAGAAAGGATAGGGTAGCTCCGCCCAACGCGTATCAGACCCACTTTTCCACCATGCAGCTACAGCAGCAAAGATGCATCAGAACTTAACTTGTACAAGCATAAAAAATGAAGCAGCACGCGCATTTTTGCTGCCATGCTGCGTGCGTTCTGAACGTAGCTTAAGCCTAAACTTCTTCATTCCTGTTTGCTCATTCAGAAGTTCTTTATAGTTGTGAAAAACTAAAATATAGGATTTCTGGTCAGATGATCAGGAAATAAACTTTTAGGTGATCAGAACATCGGATATATTAATGGTAACTTCACCACCTAACTATATATCACTGGTACTTTACAGCATATGGCGTACATTTTGTTTTCATTAGACGTTTTCTAGTGTATTTACATCTTAAGCAACAAATTTACTGTTGATCTGTATCAGATGTGTCATCTTGTGTTTTCCTGTTGCCTCTAGGACTCAGCTCCACATATATTAGAATTTTTGCTTGATAGAATTTATTTTAAAAAATACAAAAATCTGTTTTCTGGGACATGTTCCTTCTCTTTTGCTCATCTACAGTTTTACACTGAGTCAGAGGTTCTATCCGGTGTCCGCCCGAAACTGGACCACCTTAGACTCAGTGCAGCTGGAGGTGCGCTCACCCAGGCAAACGTTTTCTTACGTTGGGAGACGTGGGATCTACTCCCCCGTCGAGTACTCCTTTCACTGCCAGTCCGTCACCAGCTTTGTGGATGCCTTGCTGATTCCCGACAACCAAAGCACGACTCAGTGGTTGCTGAACTTCAACGACTTCCAGGTACCTCCGTTTTCCTGCTGTCTCAAATCTCAAGTTTTTAGGCTACGTTCACACAAAAGCCTGTAGTGGCCCAAATCCGATTTTTTTTTTTTTTTTTTTTGGCCAATATGTGACTGTATCTGGTCTTTTCATGGGAGTCTGAACAACACAAATCTGATTTTTTTTTTTCTTTCAATGCGACCATTAATACTATACAAAGGTCACTATTGTGTGTATGTCTATATATACACACACATATGTATCTGTTTATGTATGTATGTATGTATGTATGTATGTATGTATGTATGTATGTATGTATGTATGTATGTATGTATGTATGTATGTATGTATGTATGTATTTATGTATGAATGTATGCATGTGTGTATTTATGTATTTATGTATGAATGTATATGTGTGTATGTATGAATGTATGTATTTGTGTATGAATGTGTATGAATGTATGTATGTGTGTATTTATGTATTTATGTATGAATGTATGAATGTATGTGTGTGTGTATGTCTGAATGTATGTATGTATTTATGTATGAATGTATATGTTTGTATGTATGAATGTATGTATAAATGTATGTATATGTATGTATGTATGTATGAATGTATGTATGTGTATGATTGTATGTATGTGTGTATTTATGTATGTATGTATGTATGTATGAATGTGTATGTATGTATGTATGTATGAATGTGTATGTATGTATGTATGTATGAATGTATGTATTTATGTATGAATGTATGTGTGTGTTTATGTATGAATGTATATGTTTGTATGTATGAATGTATGTATAAATGTATGTATGTATGTATGATTGTATGTATGTGTATGATTGTATGTATGTGTGTATTTATGTATGAATGTATATGTGTGTATGTATGTATGTATAAATGTATGTATGTATGAATGTATGTATGTGTATGATTGTATGTATGTGTGTATTTATGTATGTATGTATGTATGTATGAATGTGTATGTATGTATGTATGTATGAATGTATGTATTTATGTATGAATGTATGAATGTATGTGTGTGTTTATGTATGAATGTATATGTTTGTATGTATGAATGTATGTATAAATGTATGTATGTATGTATGAATGTATGTATGTGTATGATTGTATGTATGTGTGTATTTATGTATTTATGTATGAATGTATGAATGTATGTGTGTGTTTATGTATGAATGTATATGTTTGTATGTATGAATGTATGTATAAATGTATGTATATGTATGTATGTATGTATGAATGTATGTATTTATGTATGAATGTATGAATGTATGTGTGTGTTTATGTATGAATGTATATGTTTGTATGTATGAATGTATGTATAAATGTATGTATGTATGTATGATTGTATGTATGTGTATGATTGTATGTATGTGTGTATTTATGTATGAATGTATATGTGTGTATGTATGTATGTATAAATGTATGTATGTATGAATGTATGTGTGTATGTATAAATGTATGTATATGTGTGTGAGTATGAATGTATGTATTTATGTATGAATGTATATGTGTGTGTGTATGTATGTATGTATAAATGTATGTATGTATGTATGAATGTATGTGTGTGAGTATGAATGTATGTATAAATGTATGTATATGTATTTATGTATGAATGTATGTATTTATGTATGAATGTATATGTGTGTGAGTATGTATGTATGTATTTATGTATGAATGTATATGTGTGTGTATGTATGTATGTATGAATGTATAAATGTATGTATGTATGTATGTATGTATGTATGTATATGTGTGTATGTATGAATGTATGTATGTATTTATGTATGAATGTATAAATGTATGTATGTATGTATGTATGTATATGTGTGTATGTATGAATGTATGTATGTATATGTGTGTGTGTATGTATGTATTTATGTATGTATGTATTTATGTATGTATTTATGTACGAATGTATATGTGTGTGAGTATGTATGTATTTATGTATTTATGTATGAATGTATGTATTTATGTATGTATGAATGTATATGTGTGTGAGTATGAATGTATGTATTTATGTATGTATATGTGTGTATGTATGTATATGTGTGTATGTATGTATATGTGTGTATGTATGTATATGTGTGTATGTATGTATGTATATGTGTGTATGTATGTATGTATATGTGTGTATGTATGTATGTATATGTGTGTATGTATGTATATATGTATGAATGTATGTATTTATGCATGAATGTATATGTGTGTATGCATGTATGTATGTATACTACCTTTCAAAAGTTTGGGGTCACATTGAAATGTCCTTATTTTTGAAGGAAAAGCACTGAACTTTTCAATGAAGATAACTTTAAACTAGTCTTAACTTTTCATCCATCCATGTTTACTTCCATAAACACAGCACGCTGGCTTGTGATGTCATGGCGTCCTCATTGGCACATGTGGGATACCTAAGCTGAATAAATGCAGTTCACACAGGAGATCAGATACAAGTCGTTTATATTTGGAAATAAGAACTGCAAAAATCGGAATTGATCATTAAGGCCTGCTGTGTGAACGTAGCCTATTTTTGATGGATATTTTTTTTGAGATTTGTAATTAAAGTAATTAACCAGTATTGTGTGTTTTGTTTTGGTTTTTACTGATGCAGATTCAGGGCTTTGGTTTGTCCAACCAGTCGCGATTCGCCTACGCCAGTGACTGTGCGAGTTTCTTCACCCCTGGGATTTGGATGGGCCTCATCACCTCACTGCTCATGCTCTTCATTTTTGCGTATGGCCTTCATATGATCATGCAACTAAACACCATGGATCGGTTTGACGACCCCAAAGGTCCATCGATCTCAGTCCCTCAGACAGATTAGAGCCGTCTTTCTGAGATGCACTCCGCTGTCCATCAGTGCCATATTGATTTTACACCTGGACCTTTGTAGATGCTTTTCTTCACCTCCTCCTCGATAGAAGTTTTTAAGAGGCTGTTTTTTGTTGGGTTTTTTTTAAGCCACATTCCTTTTTATCATTTTATTCATGACTTGATATCCCAAAGTTATTAGATTTAATTTAATGTAAATGTGCCTAAAGATTGTGCCTGGAACATCAAGAAGCAGTTTGCACTCTTTTCAGAGAACGCCTTTATTGTCAAAATGCACGTGATCACTGGACGCTGTTCTACCTTTACAGACCTCAGATATTACTTTTTTAATATTTTCTCCCAATAGAAATAGAATATACCTGAATGCTAAAAAGTGCCTAAAAAGAGAATGTTTTTTTTCACTTGTCAGTGTTCGGCCACACTAATTTATCACTGTTATGAGACGTTCTCTTAAACTGTGTTTTATTTGTATAAAATGATTTGTCTTTTAACATTTAGGCTGTGGAGGAAAAGTAAACAATTAATTTACTACCTGAGTTGTTTTCAAAACTGTGCAAATGCCACTTCTTTCACTGTAAAATTTAAATTATGAATAAATATAATGGATTTCATGGTAGTTGTCTTTATTATGTGGATAATACTAGGCAGTTGTCTAGGGCCCAAAGCTCCTGAGGGCCCCATAAAACTCCTTTTATATGTACACTAAATACAACTATTCCTTATTTGTACATATTATGCTTTTGATTAAAATCCTTTCGTTAAAATGCCATCAGAAAACTTATAATATTAAGTGTGTCTCAGCCCCCCCTTCAGTGTCCACCATATTGAATCAGTCCATTTGCTGCACATGTTCAGAAAGGTCCAAACAGAGCAGCAAACCATTTGAAAACAAACGATGTGAAAGTGTTGCCAACTTAGCGCTTTAGTCGCTATATTTAGCCACTTTTCAGACCCCTCTAGCACTTTGATTTCTAAAAAGCTCCTAGCGCCAAATCTAGCAACTTTTTTCTGCTACTGGAGACTTTGGAGACAACATCTAAAAGCAGCGAACTCTGCTCTCCAGAGCAAGTAGATTGGTAACCCCGCCTCCTGCTCTCCTCTATCTTGTCTGCTGTCATGATTCATGCAGCTATTATTTCATCCAAATGAAAAATGCAGGGATTAAAGTATTGTCCGTGGGTAAAAAGATCACTAAAAAATAAATTGATGGTAAATAAATTTGAAAGACAATCATTTGTCAGCCAATGGTAGCAAAGGAGCACGCTGAAACTAATTGTATTAGCCAATCAAAAGAAGAAGGGGGTGAGTCCTAGGAAAGCGTGTTCCTCCTCCTCTCGTTTCTTGCTCAAGTCACCAGATAGATTGTGGTTCAGCGCTGAAGTTCTACACCGAGAGTCACCATGCGGCGTTTACTGCTCTATTCTACAGAGAGACGTTTAAAGAGTCAAAAAATTACATATATTAAACTTTGTGTTTGGAGAGAAGGACGACAGAGCGACGGAATTGCATGGAGCGGGCACAATTTAGTTCATAAACTCCAGGGAAGATGTCACGACCATAGATAAAGGTCTGAAGAATAAATGACGCTGGAGGAGACAGAGTGAGATGGTGAGCCATTTAGCTGCTGGTGCGGGAAGTTAGGTCAACCAGGCACTTGATTCAAAACTGGATATCAAAAGAAATGTGGTACATGAAAATGGTAGATATAGATGCACTTCTGCCATCTTCTGTACCTGTGTAAAGACAATAAAGTTGAATCTAATCTAATCTTCTGGCCATTCAAAAGTCAAATATATATATATATATATAGAGAGAGAGAGAGAAGAGAGAGTGAGCAGATCATGGCTTGTCTACAGTGAAAAGAAGGACTGGGTTATTTACTTTTGCTGTCGTCTTTTTGGAAACACAGGAAGGAGCAATCAGCTAAGTGAGCTTAGTGCTTGGAAAAAATCTTTCATTCCTTTAGAGACAGCATGAAAAGTCAGCTGAGTACAAATCATTGAGAGGAAAACAAGAAGAAAAGGGACAAGAAGAGAGGGACACAACCTAGAACAGATAATGGATGTCTATTCTATTAACATTTCTCTATCCGTAGAATGGGTCTGTTTGATGTGTTGTCATCTCAGTTCAGAGGGCCCCCTGCCTGTCTTCGCCTAGGGCCCCAATTTTTTGTAAATCCGACCCTGCTGGACCTGTGTGTAACTTAGCTATGGCAACGCCTCCCAGGGCTGTCCAGAGTAAAGCTAGCTTAACTTAGTTTTCGGTTTTGTTGTTTGTTTTTTTGCTTCAGGAACAATGAACTCTAAAACGTCCAAAGCTTCTCTATGGGGCCAAAATGGTAGCTTTAATATTTGCAAATGTGTGTGGAGAGTTGTGTGTCTGTATCTCGATCTGTGTGTGTGCAGTGGGATTTGAAAATGTGTAAATAAATCTGTAAATGTGTGAGGAGATTTGTGTGTCTGTACAACAATCTGCAAATGTGTAAAACTACTTGTGTGTAATCCGTTTTGCAAATGTGTAAAAAATCCACAAATCTGTATTCAGATCTGCAAATGTGCACTGAGATTTGCAAATGTGTAGATCAATCTGTAAGCACACACAGAGACACTTGTGTCTGAAGTATTTTCGCTTCAAGACCCAGAAATACAGACAAATCATTGGTTACAAGTCAAGCGGTTTTTCAGTTGGCTCTCTTTACACACGTGATTTTTGCTACTCTTCTGCCGCGTGAGATGCACAAATGCGTAGAAGGATTTGTATGTGTATTTTCGCGATTTGTAACCCCTTGCGCAGGCTCGCAGGCTCACATGCTGCCCTGACCGCAGGCTCGCAGGCTCACAGACAGCCTCTCTCTGCTGCGACAGTTCAGCACAACTTGCTTCACATACAGCCACATACCACCAGTTGGCGGTATTGTACAGTACGTGACGTTACTGGGGTCCTAGGGGTTGTACCTGCTAAGTTGAGAGCAATGGAATCCCGTCAGCTTTCTGTAAGTATATTTCTTTAATTTGTCCTATAGTTTGTATTAGTAAAACTGTTTCTTCTTCTTCTGCTTCTGTTTTATGGCGGCTGGCAAGCAACTTTATGATGTTCATTACCACCATCTACTTCAGTGGAGTGTGGATCGGGATGCTATGTATTTTCCCACTGAAAAATAAAAATAAATATTAACAATATTTACATAAATAAACTTATATCCTTTCTACCAATTTCGTTTTTTCAAGATTGTTTATCAAATTACAAAAAGAAACATAAGTAGATTTTTTTTCCCCAAAATATCTTGTATATTTAACTGTAATTTATTGTCTTGTAACCCTTCTCTCCATAGAATATTTATAACAAAACAACAAAACATGCTCCACCGTCTCCCCTTGATAACAAAAACCACAACCTCCTGTTCCCATTCTAAATAAGTTTCCATTTAACCCCGTGTTTCCGAAACTTAATCTAGATATAACCTCTTTTTTATTCCTTTCCGTTCTCCTCATTTCACCAATTTTCCTTTGAATACTATAAAGCCACCTTCCAGTTCTATGCTCTTCCCACAGCTTCTGCCATCTTTCCGTAACCTTTTGTTTAATAATAGATAAAATGTTTTCCTTACTGAATGGTATCAATATATCATCCTTGTCACGTCAACTCCCGCAGCGGAGGAAAAAAAAAAAGGTAGAGGCTGTCTGTGAGCCTGCGAGCCTGCGGTCAGGGCAGCATGTGAGCCTGCGAGCCTGCGCACGGGGTTACAAATCGCGAAAATACACATACAAATCCTTCTACGCATTTGTGCATCTCACACGGCAGAAGAGTAGCAAAAATCACGTGTGTAAAGACAGCCAACTGAAAAACCGCTTGACTTGTAACCAATGATTTGTCTGTATTTCTGGGTCTTGAAGCGAAAATACTTCAGACACAAGTGTCTCTGTGTGTGCTTACAGATTGATCTACACATTTGCAAGTCTCAGTACACATTTGCAGATCTGAATACAGATTTGTGGATTTTTTACACATTTGCAAATCTCAGTGCACATTTGCAGATCTGAATACAGATTTGTGGATTTTTTACACATTTGCAAAACGGATTACACACAAGTAGTTTTACACATTTGCAGATTGTTGTACAGACACACAAATCTCCTCACACATTTACAGATTTATTTACACATTTTCAAATCCCACTGCACACACACAAATCGAGATACAGACACACAACTCTCCACACACATTTGCAAATATTAAAGCTACCATTTTGGCCCCATACTTCTCGTAGAGTCCACTTCAGGACTTCACGGGACAGGAAAGTTTTTGCACCGGTCAGGCTGAGAAACGAGCTAAAACGAGACGAAATGCCGCATCTCGGACCCGGTTGCTATGACAACCACCAGGTAAACAAATACGGGGACACGTCATTAAAAGTTAACTATCATAACTTGTAATGAAACTAATGCATTGTATAAATATATTTTTTTTTTTATGTGGCGCCACTCAAACAGGTCAAAGTATGGATTTTAAATTTTACTAATATTGTTCAGTAAATGCCGACAGCAGAAAAAACTTCCATAAAGAATGTGTTGATATTAAAGAAAGTATCAGCTTTAGGGAGAGGGTTGGAGCCGTCACTGAATGGGTCGTGTGATCCTATGAGCGCTGACGTGCTTGGGTGGCGCCATCTTGGGGCGGTCGGCAGCTCTGCTCAGTGACGCGGATTGAGCAGGCACTGAACAATTTAAATAACTTGCTCTAATGAACTGATTTTCACAGTTTTGTTTTTTCTGCTGAAAACAAAGAAACGGTTGAGGGTATTTAAATATTCTTAGCGGGGTTAAGAGTAATAAAATATTCTAATAGGATGGATGTATGATGGATGCAAAGCAACTCATACATTTTTATATTTTCTTTATTACTATATACAGAAATTTTTTTACAGGGATGCAGAATATACATATACATATCTCCCTCTCATTCATATATATATATATATATATATATATATATATATATATATATATATATATATATATATATATATATATATATATATTATTTTTTATTATTATTTTATTATTATTTATATTGAATGTTATTTTTACCCATGTTTTAGCAGTTTGCTTTTTCTTTATTTTTACTGTTTTTGTTTTTCTTTACAGCACTTTGGTCAGCTGTGGTAGTTTTTCAGATCAAATTGAATTTGATTTTTTCCAAAGCTCTGATGCCTTCATGAAGTTATCCCCAGAGCCCTGATGTCAACAGTCTGTAGATTTAAACAAAAATACCCTGCAGTGCTGAGGCAGCCTTCTGTTCTGCTTAAAGCAGCACGTTAGGGTAGCAGGTCGACCTCCCCAAGATGGCGCCCTTCATTTCTGCTTCTTTGATGCAGAATTTAATCCACAGAGGTGAATAATTTATTGTCTTTACAAGGAACTCTATGATTTCAAAATCTGCTGGTCTAAAGTGAACTATCAGCTTCCTAAACATAGAGGGAAACCGGTTAAGTTTGCAACATTTACAGTTTTCAGAGTTTCTTTCAGAGGTGCTCAACCTAAATGGCAAGCCATCATAGCATTTAATAGCTAGACTGGACGTTTATTACCAACATCTTTAACCTCATTATGCCATGTTATAACTCTCCTTGAAGATATCTCTAAATACTTTTTGACTTGTTAAATTTTTAATTAAAGACACATATTAGTACAACACACAAGTCAGAAGTTTGGGTTTTTAATTACTGTGAATCAGAAATGTATGGAAGCCCGTTTCCGCCAGTCAAAAAAAAAAAAAAAAAAAAAAATCTCATTATGAGTTACTATCTCATTATATGGAGATAGTAACTCAATATAATGAGATAGTATCTCATATATAATGACATCATTTTTTTTTTTACAGTGGCGGAAACGGGCTTCCATAGTAATGTGTTGAGGAAGCAAAGAACAAATTTATTTATTTGTTTCTTTAAACCTTTTAGGTTTTAATCACACAGCTTATGTGCGGATTTTACTGCTCTAAAACTGTGCATGTTTAAAATTTCACAGATCACAAGAAATTTTAATCTAGAAAGGCATTAAAGAATCAGGTTTAATAGAACCCATCTTTTCTTTTTTCAGTTTGACACCATCGTTTACAATTTACAAAAGCGACCTGAGAGTAAAAAGGGATACGCCCTCTCTGCCAGGACCGCTGCTCGCTTTCCTCCTAACAAGGTAATTTGTCTGGAATAAAGTCTGTCACACAACTACCTGCTTTTCAGACATCAAAAGCAAAGCACCCTAACTCCATCAAAAACGTCAAGTTGAAAGTAGTTCACTATTTTTTTTTTTTTTTTTTTTTTCAGAATTCAGAGATTAAACTTAAGTCAGAATTCTGACTTTCCCCCCCCAATACTAAACAGAAATAAAATCTGTTAACTTTTTTTCCCCCCAATTGGCCCTAATCCTCTTCCGTACATTAGAGAAAAACCCATTTGTTGACAGAATTTATTATTTTTTTCATCACCTTTTCATTAAATAATAATAATTAATAGTTTTCTTTTTCAGTCGTGGGACTTAAAGTGTTTAATATATTTATTTAAAATACTAATCTTGTCTTAAACTTTTTTTTTTGTTATCCTGTGGTGTTTGAAATTGACCAGATGATGGAGACGCCTTGGCCTCAGCAGTACCAGCAGGATTCAAACTGGTCCAGACTTCCTCCTCCTGGCAGAGCACCGTTCGGTTCAACCGCGCCCAGATTCACATCACATACCGACGACTGCAGCCCGGGGTGAGAGACAATCCTCAACTACGTACAGAGGCTGAAATATCAGATCTGAGCTAATCAGTGTTACTTCCTGGCTCAGCCCTGGGACGTACAGCTGGGATGGAGTAACAAACCGGAAGGTGAGCTGGCCCATGTGCTTCGGGAGACCGGACTGGTCCAGACTGCCCAGGCTGGAACAGGGAGCTTCCAGGGTGAAGGTGAGTATGGAGGGACATTCGGTCCATTATTGTTGCAACCAAAATGAGTGAATGGATTGTCAAACAAAAAAAAAAAAAAAAGTAGTCCAGAATTTTTAAGTTTTAAAACTCTCTTTTTGAAAGTAACTTTGCTGTTTTCTCTGACTTTATTTTTTCAAACTTAATATTTTCAACAGTTTTTTTATTATTACAGATACAGTTTAAAAACCTATTTCTACTTAAATTGTTTCACAGATTTTTTAAGGTTGATGCAGGCTAGTAGAAAAACATCTTCACTCCTCAAAAGGAAAGCCTTTTGTAAAGCCGCTGTCACACCTTGAAGATTTAGGCCAGCGTCTGGTGGACATACTGAAAATGTGGCAGAAACGCTGACATACGTTGGATAAGTTATAGCTATTTTTGTTTAAGTTATGAGCACGCTGAAGTACGCTGAAGTACGTCAACAGATGGCGAGAAAATTTGAACGTGCTGCAAATTTCTCGACTTATGCCAGCGTATGCCTAGCCTCGTGAGACCATCCTGATCTCGCGAGCTTTCAAGGTTTCACTAGTAGATCAGTCTGGAGACTCTCCATTAAAGAAAATTTGGAGCCGTTCACCAAACGAACGTCCAATCAGCGTTGGCTTTGAGGCGGGTTGAGGTGTGACCCAACGAGAAGCGCGACAGTTCAGTCTAAAGAACATGGCGGCTTCAGCCGATGAAACTAGCGTTAGCGTGGCTGTGAAAATCCAGAGTATCAGGCATACGCTGGCTAAATCAGCAAGGTTTAACACAATTTGAAAAGAATGCAATCTGTTTAAGTCAACCTAAAACAGAGATTTGGGAAAAAAATGAAATAAATCTAGAAAAAGAGCAAAGTTACTCTCAAAACCCCCTTTTTTTTGTTTAGAAAGTTTTTCAAAGTTCCATTCCAGATTGTACTTTTTGCAGATGTTCTAAGAAACAATTGTGGAAAAAAATCCACTCCATAGGTTTTTACTTTTCTCTTTTCTCCTCAGTTGCCGAGCTACAGAGAGTTTGTGAAGTACCGCAGCAGACTGGTCTATCTGAGCTTGTATTACTAACTCTAAAGCTGAAGGATGGAGGTACATCACCACACAGACCCACATGGAGTGCTCGGATTTTACTGATTCTTCGCCATCATAACAACAGCTGCAGAGATTCTCACCAAAGACTGGATAATGTCAGAATGAATAAAAAAAATAATAATAATAATCTTTTTTTTGTGTCATATGTACAAAAAGGGTGCAGGCTGCAGTAAACTCCGCAGCGAAGTCGCTTACAAAGTTCCATACAAAGTGAGTTCTGTCAGAAAAACCAAACAGAAAAGTTTTTTCTTCAGCAGATGTCCGTCAGCTGCTGACGCCACAGCAGCTTTTAACCCCAAACCAGAGTCCGTTAGAGTCCTCTCACTTCTTCCTCCTCACTTTGGGTTTCTTGACGGGCCGCAGGTACGGGTTGTCGATCACGTTGTCTTCGCTGACCTTCGCTGATGGAACGACTCCGCTGGGAGGAAGCACGGAGTTTTCTTTATCGGCGCTCGGATCGTCCTGAGACGCGAAAACAGAAGGAAACGTTAGCTTAGTTGGTTACAAACGGTCCGATATGTTCATGCTACAAATCCACATCCTGCCCTGAATCTCATTTATAAAATCATAATGGCACAATAAAGTATTCACACCCACTCAACATGAAGACATTCTTTTGCACCATATTATTAAAAGTCTGTGTTGTTCTAATTAAAAAGAGGAGCAGCTTTTTTTTCTGAAGATCTAAAAAGAAAATTCAGTTTTTCTGTAGTAAACAAATGAATTGTTTTGGTGAAGAACTCAAAATGAATTATTTATTTGGTCTTTATTTATTTTCTTATTGCAATCCTGACTATTTTAACTGCATCCCTTAAATCAATGTGCTTCCTCAAGAAAAAGGATTATGGGATGCATGTTGACAGAGATTTTTTAAGAATAATGTAATCCTGATGTACCGTATTTTCTGGAATATAAGCCGCTACTTTTTCCCCATGCTTTGAAACATGCGTCTTATAAGAAGGTGCAGCTTTTCTGTGGATTTTTTCTAACTGGTAGAGGGGGAAGTCAAAGTTCAAAATGAAAGAATAAGGAGCTAATTTTCATTTAGCACAAGAACATGCTAGTAGCATACACAATGCAGAACAAATGTCTCAAATTCACACATTTTGACATTTGTTTGCCGCATTTAAGCTGTCGAACCGATGAGGAGACTGGGCTCAACTCCTGCAGACGAAGCCCCATCTTTCAGTAGAAGCTCTTACTGCAGTGAGCCAATAAGCTAAATGAAGCTAGCATTCTTTGTCACTATTCCGGGTGCAATATGCAGAGCTCCCCCTACAGGTTTGGAGGGAAAAGATTCAGTAGATATAAGCGGCTAAAGGATGATTTATACCCAGAAACCAGGTCGTCTGCGTGTTTATCGCAGTGAATGCAAATAGAACCCCGTCACTTCTGCAGACAGGAGGCCTCTGATTGGTCAAATCAACATCCGCTCTACACTATGCGTATTTCCTGTTTGGTACCTTACCAGCCTGTTTTGTTTCTATGACCGCCATTGTGGAGAACCCTGGGACCCTTTTTCCACCTGGATCCCCGCTCTTTTTGGCCCTCATCTCCCTCCGTTGCCCTCAATTCCTCCCCGCCTCTGCCGTATCTAGACCAACAGCTAATTCCTGATTGTCCCTCTTGCGTTGTGGCGTGTAATAACAGTGAAGACAACGCTTCAATATTGGGCATAAATCAAAAATATCTGTAACAAGCTCACTGCGACACACCGAGGCCGATGGGGTTCAATGAGACAGAAGCAGAGATACAAAAGGAAGCTGGAAAAGTTGCAGCTGTATGAATTAATCAATACCTATATTTCCTCGATTTATGGTGAAAACTTGTAATATTATGACAGGGTTCCTACATCATAAGGCAAGTTAAATTCAAGACTTTTTAATGCCACTTGAAATAAAAATTTCAGACCAAATTCACAAGAAACACAGAAAAACCTGCTTGCGACAACTTAACCCAAAGGTTTATTTTAACATAAACCACTGCACTAATGTTTCAAATTTTGAAAAGCTTCCCATACAGGAAGAAAGCTAAAAACACACAAATGACAGATATATTTGAACAATTATTTAAGAGAATTCACAAACTTTGTTTTAGCAGGGAACAAAACAAATCAGTTTTAAAGCCCCAACATAACCAGTGCTAAGTCTTTTTAGCAGCTATTTTTCTTTGTATGGTTTTCTTAGTATGTTTGATTTGGTGATAAGTGGAGGCGTTGCAGAGACAAGGGTGGAACTAAACTGAGAAATACCGGCTGTTTCTCTGTAACTCCATTTTGACGCTTTGTGTTTTGCGCTTTGCATGTGCAACTCCACTGCCTTAATTCCCATCGTTCTGAGCTTGAATCGCTTCTTGCACTAAATCCACTGAGCCTCATGTATGTTCCCTGGTTTTAGCCATGGAGAAAACTCTTGGCTGGAGACTATTTTGGTTCCATTTACACTTGCTCATATGTTCCAGACAAAAAGTTAATGGCGCATCTCCCAAATGTCCCGGCCGCAACAACGCTTTATTGGTTCCGCTATCGGGACGGAACCAATAATGGCGAGCCTTTATTTTTTTTAAATAAAAAAAGGAATTTCCAATTTTAATGTTTTATTTAGATTACAAAAATAAATCTTAATAAAAATAATCCTATTTATATTTTTTTTAAATTAAGACCAACGAAAGACTGATTTAAGACATTTTAATACCAATTAATGCCTTTTAAGACTTTTTAAGGACCCGCGGGAACCCGTACGAGAACAAAAGTGGAAGAGAAACTATTCTCTTAAAAAAAAATAAAAAACGCCTTAAACTAAAATCCAGGAAAAGTGTCATCTGACGCCAGAGGTGAGGACCTACATTGATAACGTTCCCGGCTGCGTTCTCGCTGTCCGTCTGGTCGTCCTGCTCCGAGGAGTCCGTCTCCTCCAGACTCTGCAGTTCCAGCTCTGAGGGAAGGAGGGCGCTAAGGTACGGGATGGCACTGGGCCGCGCAGCGATCACTGAGAGCAGAGACGGGGGATGTTACACTGTGGAAGGTTAAACAGAGTTCAGCATCATCAGCATCACTCACATGGAAACGCAGAGACGTCGTCTTTGAAGAGGCTTTGAGTTTCTCCGGTTTTGGCCATGAAACGCGTCAGGGCTCGTTCCACGTCTCTCCTCTGGGTGGCTGCCTTTTCTCTCACCACCTGGTAGTCTGAGACAGGCTCCCTGAACGTCTGCAACAAATCAACACACAGATCGGTACACAGTTTCCCTCAGAGAGACCAACAAAGTCATTTGATTTGTTCCAGGAATCTGGTTTGTGACTCACAGGCGTTTTGATGTAGGTGTGAGGATCAGGGAACTCTGGGAAGTGGCAGGGAATGTGAGACGGATGAGTCCGTTTCTGTCCGGCAGACAGAGACTTGGGCGTAACGGGAGCATTGGTAACCGGAGCTGAAAGTCACAAAGTTGATCCATTTTATGCGATTTAGAATCAATTAACCCTTTATAGGGCAAGTTAGTGTTGTTTGATCACTTACATACCCCTAACAAATGGGGGAAAAAAGATAAAAGGCTAGTTTAAAAGTAAATAAGTAAAGTTTACAAGTTAACAAGCCTAGTTAACAATTATATTTAGGTAAATAAAATAAAAAATGTCAGTGCCAGTATCAGCATTAATGCCTCTAAGGTTAAGTTGGACCAAAAAATGTTTTTCACTCTCAGAGTGTTTTTCTTATAGAAGCACTTTTGTTATTTTTCTTAATATATTCGGGTAAGTTGGCGTTTCTTGTTATTACATTGACATTCATTGCCAGCGAGGGGTTAGACCAGCTTTTATTGCCAATTAGGAGGGAACCAAATGGCAACTGCCAGCTGGTTTAAGTGGGGGGGAGCTTATTTGTAAATGTGTGATTCCTATTAAAATTTTTTGCAAATGTGTAACTTGTATCCATAACTGTTAAACTTTTTAATGTTTGAATGTGATAACAAGAGAGACGAGTTAAAAAATATCAAATTGATGCAAATTGGTTTATCTACATTTAAAAATTCACAAACGCACACAGTATTACAGAGAAACCTATATAGAAATATTTAAAATAAACGACTTCCTGACAGAGAACTGAAACGTGTGGCAGAACGCTTTACTTACGCGCCGTAATGACCATCCTCTGAGACCGCTTGGCGTACACAGGCAGGGTGTCAACATTGAAACCTATAGAAACACAAACCATTTAGAATCAGATGTGAGTCTGACAGCAGCAACATGGACGGCATTCGCCAGTGGACTTCTGGTCGTACCCATCTCGATGAGAGTCACCACGGTGTCCGAGAGCGTCGGGACGCTCCTCGCAGTGTGTTCACAGTAGGTTTTAGCACATCGACCTATTTCTGTTATGTCTAAAGAAAAACAAAGACAAATATTAATTTTCTTTTTTACCACAAAAAGTCATAAAATCCAACAATTATAAATGAATTATTTAGGAGAGGTGGCTGGACTTTAAGCCTTTTGAGGGTTTCCCTTTGTAAAGCCGCGAGCAACCTGAGTCCACTTTGACATCCTGCCCAGTTTGATGCTGCTGCTAGTGCTGCAACTAACGATTATTTTAAAAATCGATGAATCGGCCGATTATTTTTTCGATTAATCGATGAATCGGACAAAAAATATTTTTTATATTAACCTCTTTATTCCAAAATAAACATTTTAGACAGAACAAACAAGCACACAAGTACAGGTTGCTCATTAACTGTACTGGTGCAATATGAAAAATAAATGTTTGTGTTAAAACTACGCAAACTAACATGAGAAATGTAGCTGTACATCCACAAAATATAGGCTACTTTGTTAAATAAAGCACAAAAAAAGACATTTTTGTTTCTAAAAGCCCCTAAGGGGTTCAAACAATAGGCCCCCCCCATTTCAACAAATGAGGTTTTTTTTAGACTAGAAGAGTTCTGCCTTTTAAGACAGGAAAGTATAGCAGTTAAAGCTGCTACTTGGGAAAATACTGAACCATAGAGATAAAAATAGCCCTGTGATTCAAATTATAAATTGTATTTGGAATAAAAATGAGAGAACTAGGGGTGGTAAAAAACACATCCTCCAAAGACAGATATTTACATGGGAATGTGGCAGATAATTAATTGACATATTACTGATCTTGCTGGATTTTATTCTGCTTTACTTCCATAAATTGCAGGATCTTCTTTACTTTATCTTTGCCAGAAGATTTAAACTTTAAAAGCCTTGCCCTCATTATTTGCAAGTTAATTTATTTATAAAGTAAATATAAACGCTGCTTAAGCTAATTCAAATGAAATTAAAAGTAAAATAAGTAGCCAACCTTATCACTGTCTGTAACCTACTAACACAGTAAGGAAAGCATCAGATGAGCTACCTGAGAAACTAACGTTACGTTTCCCCACTTTAAAACCAAACAAACATGGCCGCTCACCCTGCTGATCAGCTCTCTTCACTGCCATTGAAGGCTGCAGCGTGTTTCCTTTTCAGGTGCTGCATCATAACAGTGGTGCGTCCGCGCCATGTTCATTTGTTTTTACAAAAGTTGCATGTTACGACTTTTTTCACTGTACAAAGCGCAGGATATTTTAATTATTGTGATCAATTTGCGCCGTCAATCCCGGCGCATGCGCGCTTCATTTGCAGTCTGGACGCTGAGGGTAAACATCCTCTGACTGCAGCGCTGAGAGGGACTCCTGCGGGAGCGGAGTTGGGATGGGGGAGGCGCCCCACGGCAACGACGACGGCGGCGGATGACGCATTAATCGCGCGACACAACTTATCGATGATGAAATTCGTTGTCAACGCTTTTAAAAGTCGATTTTTATCGATTTTATCGATGCGTTGTTGCAGCCCTAGCTGCTGCTAAAAGTTTTCCTTATTTTTCAAACCGATGCTAAAGTATAACTTCACATGATGCTCCACATTCATCATTTTAGGGAAGAAAGTGCTTCTAGTAAGAGTTGTCATAAAATACAACTTTATTGTTGTAATTTTATGACTATAGTTGTTTTGAATTTTTTTTTAATATTACGACTTTATTGTTGTAATTTTATAACTTTATTCTCCTCATATTACGACTTTCTTCTAGTAATGTTATGACTATTCTCGTAATTTTATGACTTTATTCTTGAAATGTTGTGACTTTATTATGGAAATAGAAAAAATATTTCTAGCCTGGCCCTTATACTCCTTCGTAGAAATAATCCAATATAACCAACAATAAAGTATATCATTATACTATTCAATTCAGTTCAGTTTAGTCTGTTAAATAAGCTGCCTGTAGTGTCTTTAAAGGTCCAGCAGGTGTCAGTATTCTGTGAGACAGTATCAATACAGTATTCATATATTTATATATATAGTTATTGCACTGGGTGTCAGATATAGAGAAACAGGTAATTGCACAGGGTATTAAATAATAAATTTCACAAGTTATTGCCGTAGTGTTGTCGCATAGAGTCTGGTTGTTCTAGATAATGTTGCTTTAATTAATTAGCGGCATCATTTGTGCATTCTGATAGTTGCAAACAAATCTAAGCCCAGATCTCAGCTAATGGATGGAGGAAGCATCCAGGCCTCATACATACAGCTCTGCATCATCTCTGTGAGCGTCTCCACAGCGGCCTTCTCCGCGCTCTCGAAGCCGCTCTCAGTCAGCAGGGCGCTGACCACAACCTGCAGGGTGCGCCGCCGGGCCAGCTGGTAGTTCTCTGCGGGGCTGGATGCCGCTTTAGCTCCACGCTGAGAGAACACAGAGGAATACAATAATAATCATATTTTCCCCAAATATGTTTCTCTAAATAAAATAAACTTTTATTTTCCACGAACAAGCCACCTGAACCCACAACTCACAAGGATCAGAATGTTATTAGGGGTCTAAGTTACTTCTACTTGAACTGTAAACATTTTTAACACAGATATTAGCTGTGTGGCGGGAAGCTAAAGCTAACTAGCTGCTACCATTCTGCTCTGTGACCGAACAAAGCGACTCCTACCCCGCCATAATTCAGCGACGTTCCCGGCGCTGCAGAGGAGTCCCCCATCTGCATTTACCCCAAGCTCCTTTCTTTTGCTAAATAAATGTATTAAAGTATTTCACTCCTCCATCTGGCGCTTAGCCTCTGATAGTAAACACACTCTGAATTAGTGACGTCATTTCCGTTCAATGGACCGAAAATCAAAATGTCTTTCCGTTTTACTAAATACTGCCACCTACTGGCCGTTTGCTATAAGACAACTGGAGGAGTAAATGCAGTCTGTTTTCACACATTTCCGAGCCAATATAAGCTTTAAATCCGTGCTGTACAGATGGTAATAAACAGTGAAACATGAAAAAAAAGATTGTGGAATTTATGGTGTGTTTAAATGTTTAAAACAACGATGTGTCCCAGCCATTACAAGGAAATTGATCAAATCATAGAAGTAATAAAAAAAACAGTTTCCTGGCTTTATTTATTAATATTTATTTTTAAAGATAGATGCTTCACAATATGTTTATGGTCCTTAAAGTAACTGAATGAGTTTGGGGACGAACATTTTCCTAAATAACTTATTTTTAGTGTAAACAGTTTCCCAAAGTTTAACAGATTTTTAAAAATAAACTCTTCATATGGTTTTGCTTTAAAATTGTTTGGATTATTTTATATTTTGTAACTGGGTTTCTTTAAATTAGCTGACATATTTTTTGGTTAGATAAGCTAATAAAATAATTACCTTTATTGGTAATCGCAGCTGCACATTACAAAATAACGGGTTAATCTCTCCCCTGGGGAGCAGTGAGCAGCTTGCAGCCTGTGTGAAGCGTCGCTCAGGGACCTGAGCTTTTGCAGAACCGTAGAGCTCCTCATTGCATAACCTTTCCTCCATCAGTCGTAGTAATAAACATCACTGCTCCCAACCAACTCATCAAGCTGTTTCCATCCCTACTTTTCTGTTGGTTTGTTTTTTGTTGTTGTTTTTTGCAGGTTTGTATTTCTTGTAAAAGTCGCTGTTATTTTAAGAACAGAGAAACATGCAGATTGAACTTCTCTTTACTCTTCTAATTTACGTTAACCTGATTTCCATTGTTAAAATATTGCAGAATATTGTTTTCAATACATTGATAATTAGTTAAATACTCTCTTATTGTTATTATTTTGTTTGTTTTTTTACTTTTTATTCTATTTCTATTTGCCGTTCACTCTGTTGCCTGAAAAATCTCCACTGAGGGAAAAAAGAAAAAAAAGAGTTTTCTGTTCTATTTCATTCTATTTCTATAAAAAGGATTCATAGGGGTGTATTTGCAGGAGAAAAGCAGTTTATTACAACACAAAACACTTTTAAAACATATCAAATTTCTTCCTTGTTCATCCGATAAAGTCATCTTTGACAATCTGCTGCCCAGCAGCCTGACGTTACTGTATCCTGCAGTTTCATTCTAAAAGTCCAGCGTTCTCTTTTTTGCCAGCAACAGCAGCAAGCTGCATTTTTAACCACATGAGAAATAAATTAACGCATAAAAGGGATTCGTCTCCACTGCCATCGACAACCCGGTCTGCAGTGTCTGTTTTATTGCAGGATCGTCTCCCTAGGATGCGTGTAAACGGTTGGCTAAGCTCCTCTGTGAACCGGTCCCTGGATGTTTGACCTTCGCTTCAGACAGTATGGCCCTGATCACCTCCTCAGCTTCAGTACAAATAGAGGAGTTCCTTGTCTTCTTCTCAAATAAGAGTTCTGCTAGTTCTTCCTCTATGGTCCGATCCTTCAAGAAGGGCAGGAGAATCATCTCCACCATGCCGCCAACCATTCCAAGGATAGCCAGAGTGGAGCCGAGCATGTAGATCTTTAACATGCTGCTAGTGGGCCTCTGTCTAAGCATGTCCTTGGCGAAAGGAATGATGTCATTGATGTTTTCCATCTCTGAATATTTATCTTCCTGGAAGCAAAACAAACAGAAAAGAAAAACACAAGAAAAATGTTTAAGGAGCTGTTTTATCTGAGAAAACGACTGTTAAAATGTTCAGTATGTTTTAGAAAAGACAAGAGCAGAGACTCACCTTGAAGCACGTCTTAACTTTTCAGTTCGGCTTTTGATGGTGGAAAGGCGAGAGCAAGTCCTGCAATTTAAGCATGAGAAGAGTCGGGTCCACTCCCTCAGACCTCATGCATATTCATTTTTTTTTTCTCCAGAGATTCAAAGTTGTTTGTGTCAAAGGGCATAGAAATGTAGAGCAAGAAGTAAAACACTCCTTGTACGTGAGGCTGTGCATGTGACATCACATCTGCTCCAAAGCAGATCCAGTAAACAGCTCAGTGTGTAGACCGTCTCTGACAATGGGGGCTTTGGTAGATCCATCAATACTGATTACAAACTGAACAACATGTTTGGTTGATCTGCATTGGCTGAGCTGTAACTATGCACATGGTGTTCTTTAGGAGATTTGGAAAAGTGTCCAATCGAAGTATTAGCAGCTGAGAAAAGTCAGTCCCATGTATTGACGGACAGAGATTGCTTGGTTATACAAGGAATACCCCTTATTGAACACGGCCAGATAAGGTTCAACACAATCATGCAGTACTTTGCTGCTGTGGCTCTGGCACTACTGCAAACTGATTGCTGAGTGGACAAAGCAAGAGGCTGCGCCGTGTTCGTGTGTAACTGCATGCGTGTGGCCGATCTTTGCCTCAAACTCACCGCCCTTCGACCCAGATCATGCTGCACGAGACAGGCGGGTGAAGTCAGGCAAGTGAGTTGGGAAATGTGTCTGATCTTTGTCACAGAGGAACATGCACACTCAGTGAAACAGATTGCACTTCAGAGCACACAGTAGGCGCTGATTCAACATATGCAAACCGAACGATGCACGCTTCACACAGTAGCTTTTAGTCCAGTTGGAGCTTAAGTGGATCTGAAAAGGCTAATTTCTTTAAGTCTGTCTATTGGAGAGTCCCATCAGTACTTCAGACAGAAAATATACGATTCATTTAAACTTTTACTCTTCTGGGAGCGGTCTGGCTCAGTGGTCGAATAGAATAGAATAGAATAGAATAGAATAGAATAGAATAGAATAGAATAGAAAATCCCTTTTTTGTCCCACAATGGGGCAATTCTGTTGTTACAGCAGCAAAAAATGGTCACACTGCAAAAAATTTAAATCTTAATAAGTAATTCTTTCTTAAAATAAGTGCATTTCTTTCTTGAATTGAGGAGGTAAGTGAGACACTTTGCCAATGGAATAAGATAACTTACATTTAAAATAAGAAAAAAAAAAACAATTGCATTGTCTTATTTCAAGTGAATTTTATCTAATTGTCTTATTTTAAGAGTAAAAATACTCATTCCATTGGGAAATCCTCTTACTTACCTACTCAAATTAAGGGTAAATACACTTAATTTAAGAAATCTTTACTTATTTCTCGATCGTTTTTGCAGTGCACAAAAGTATGGACCTTAGAAAAACATATAAGAATAACATAATAGTGAAAAGTTAAAAAATAAACAATAAAATACTGTACTGTAAAGTGTTTTAACAATATCAATACTGTACACCTGGAGAATAAATAACCAATATACAGCTATGGACATTTTTACAGTATTTTTACAGTTACAGTAATAACATCAGAGATGTGCAAGATGAAAGCAGCAGGTTATTTAACTGAATAAGGTAGAAACTGAGTAAAATCAGCCTGAATGTAACAACTTGTTGAGGTTCTTGGGAACAGTGGTGGTTCTAGAGTCTTTCAGCTGCTGGGAGGAAGGATCTGTGATAACGCTACCTGGTGCATTTAAGGTGCAGCAGTCTGTCACTGAAGGAGCTCTCCAGTTCAGCACCAGCTTCATGAATGAGGCGGGACAGACGCCGCTTTGTGTAATTAAGTTTTTGTTTTTGATGCAGCTTTAAGGTTTGATTCCTAAGTCAAAACTTTTCCTCTACATACAAACATATTAAAGTTAGAATCTTTTGTTAGACTGAAAGCACCTGTTGAAAGATACAAGTCCATATTATAATTGTTTGTTTACTCGTTTCCAGAAATAAAACATCAAAAACATGAATCTGTGTGTAATTGATCTAAACATGGTGCTTCATTCAGTTTGATCAGTTACATGTGGAATTCCCCAAGAGTCCATCTTAGGGCCCCTCATATTTAATATAAGATATGATTTTTTTTCAATGCGACCCAGGCCAATTAGCTATGTGGTCCTGAATCCAATACGTATCTGATCTTTTCAAATGCGACCTGTGTGTGAATGGCAAGGTCACATTCATACGAACTGGACGGCATTACAACAAAGGTCACTATTCTACGGTGGTCCTGAAGCGCAAACTGCAACTACAAATCTAAAAGCGCAACTACATTAAGAAAAACAAAACTGCATAAAGCAATCATCCCCCCCCCCACAACCCAACCCCACCCCCCCGGACGGTTCCCCCCCCGGCCGGTCCGGGAAAATATTGCTGGACATATAGCGGTCCGTGGTGCAAAAAAGGCTGGGGACCGCTGCTCTAAGGCACATAAGTTGTGTGAATACAGTTCACACAGAAGACCACATACAAGTCATATATATCTGGAAATGTGAACAACCACCCAAAATAATTGGATTTAAAAAAAAAATCATAACTGAGCATTAAAGGAATAGTACACCCAAAACATGATTAGCCTTCATTTTCTACTCACCCCCATGCTGAACAACACTCTGGAGTACTTTTTTGATATCTCAAATGCATCTGGAGATCTGGGAGGCTTCTTGCTGTCTGCTGACATTCAAATAATGGAGGTCTATGGCGCCCGAGGCAGAAAGGTCCATAAAAGTCCACAAAAAACGTGTCAATATTCCTCCATACTGCTCGTCCAATGTATTCCAAGTGTCCTGAGTGGGTAGCATACAGAATTTACTCGAAACGAAGTCATTTAGAATGTTTTTAGAGCATAAACAGTAGTGTATAGGATATTTACTAACAAATTGAGTGAAACCAAAGCATAAAACGCAAAAACAACAAATAATATGCCAGCAGGATGCAAACCATTCAGAAAAAACGTATGAAACCAGAGGGAGCCATTGACCCATAAAAAAAAAAAAAAAAAAAGGTCAAATAATGTGACGATGCACCTGGAAGTAGGACTTCATGCAGCAACAGATGTAAAAGTTTATCCCCAACACTAAACTAAACTTTTTTTCTCCATTTCTAGACCTGCTATAGAATTACTGTTATGGCTAGTGGATTATAAAAAGCTCCTGTGATCATGTTGTTCTAAAATGTTCCACTTTAAACAAAGTGACTTTGGATTCTGGGCATTTGAGCTGGTAGCTGCCGGAAAAAGTTGAGACTGTTTGGAGACCTTTGCTCCAATTTTCCATGTTTCTGTGCTTGAATGAACAGCCTGTCTCTTCCCAGACTTCCCTAAACCAGTCATCCTGTGGTCGGGGGACGGAGAGGGCACAGGGGTCTGCATGTGAGGGGTCTATTCAGTAAGAGCTTGGATGAAATAGGGTTGGATGTCAGGTTTATTCTGCTCTTTTCTACCATTTACTGAAAGTGATCTGACTAGAATTTTAGTTTATATCTCAATATTAGCCATGAATAATTTAAATGTAGAGAAAATAAAAGGGTTTTATAATGAAACTTCCCTTTCAAAGTTTTACACTGAGTTTAAATCACGTTGTTGAAACCTGCTGCTCCAAATACTCTGCTGGTAATCCTCGCTCAGTTAGGTGCTTAAATGTAATCTAATTAAACAAAGTGTTTCCGTCTAATTGGCTTCCAGATTAGTTCAGACCCTTAATCAGGTCATAAAATCAGCTAAAATAAATAAATTTTTTCTGCAGAGATTAATTACGTTGGCAGACTAATAAACCGTTGATCTGGTTTCTCTTTAAGCCAGTAGCACATAAAATACAACCCATTATGGTGATTACTTTACTGCTGTTGGAATATTTAATGACCTAAGTGCAATAATTCATAAATCTTTGCGGTTTTACTTATTTTAGGACTATCATCCTCCACGGTAAATCAAATGCATCTAATTTAGAATCACTAATCAACCTAATAATCATGTGTTTGGACTGTGGGAGGAAGCTGGAGTACCTGGTGAGAAGCCACACATGTGAGGGGAGAACCTGCAGGAAGAGCCTGGGCTGGGAATCAAACCAGAGACCTTTTTACTGCAAGTAAAGGTGCCACAAACTGATCCGAATGCCTTGTTAGCAAATTACAGCAGGTTAGCCGGCTAAAATGTGTTAGCTACAGTTAGCTTCTCCAACATGCAGGGGCGGATTTAGGAAATTTGTGGCCCTAAGCAAAGACAGGCAGGGGGCCCTCTGAATGGAGCAGACAACACATAAAACAGCCCCATTATCCAGATAGAAAAATGTTAATAGAATAGACATCCATTATCTGTTCTAGGTTGTGTCCCTCTCTTCTTGTCCCTTTTCTTCTTGTTTTCCTCTCTATGTTTTGTACTCAGCTGACTTTTCATGCTGTCTCTAAAGGAATGAAAGATTTTTTCCAAGCACTAAGCTCACTTAGCTGATTGCTCCTTCCTGTGTTTCCAAAAAGGCCAAAGTAAATAACCCAGTCCTTCTTTTCACTGTAGACAAGCCATGATCTGCTTATCTGTTCTCCATTTTTCATTTGGATGAAATAATAGCTGCATGAATCATGACAGCAGACAAGATAGAGGAGAGCAGGAGGCGGGGTTACCAATCTACTCGCTCTGGAGAGCAGAGTTCGCTGCTTTTAGATGTTGTCTCCAATGTCTCCAGTAGCAGAAAAAAGTCTCTAGATTTGGCGCTAGGAGCTTTTAAAAAAATCAAAGTGCTAGAGGGGTCTGAAAAGTGGCTAAATATAGCGACTAAAGCGCTAAGTTGGCAACACTGCTCTTTGCATCGTTTGTTTTCAAATGGTTTGCTGCTCTGTTTGGACCTTTCTGAACATGTGCAGCAAATGGACTGATCCAATATGGTGGACACTGAAGGGGGGGGGGGGGGGGGGGGCACGCACTTAATGTTAAAGGGGTTCTGATGGCATTTTAGTGAAATTATTGCAGATTTTTATCAAAAACATAATCAATGTGCATAAATAAGGAATAGTTGTATTAATCATACATGTAAACAGAGTTTTAAGGGGCCCCCAGGAGCTTGGGGCCCTAGGCAACTGCCTAGTATTGCCTAATGGCAATTCCCCCCCTGCAAACATGTTTACTTAATAAAAGCTATTACAGTTTGAAAGCCATGCTTTCCTTTCTTTTCATATCAATTAACATTTTTATAAAATCATCTGATCATTTCAATCCATCATTTTTATTTTCTTTAATTATTCATGTTCATTCATTCATTTAATTACATTTATGACACTGCAAGGTACTTTTCCTATTAACACTTTGAATTGTGTTTCAACTTGGCTTACCGATTAAAAAGCCAACATCTAGAGGAGATAGATCTATCTATCTCATCTCCTCCAGTTTTGTTAATTTTCTAATTTGCATCAAAATTCTATTAAAGAAAAAGTCCGGTCAGCAAGGAATAATCAATGGATCATTATTTATACCTAAAACTAATACGTTCGCGGTGATTTAATTAATTTAGCTTTAATCAGTAAAAAAATGAAAACAATAATTTTCTTCACGATCACTGAGCCTGGGAGCGGCCATTTTTGCCCAAATATAATAGCCCCTCCCTCCTGCCATCTTCCAGCAGTGACGTCACGGTGCGGTAAGCCTAGCGCCATTCTCCCCCGCTTTACAAGCTAAATCAATGGGAACTACTAGACACATCTGCAATCAACAACAATTATTGAAGATTTCCAGAGGACTTCACCATTGAAATTCACCAGAGCTATAGTGAAACTGACAATGCCCACGTGCATGGCAGCTGGATGCTGGAATACATCGGGTAAAAGTGGAAAAAAAGAGTTATTCCACCTTTCTGATTCCTGATCCTCCACGGACGGGTTGGTCGTTGGATCTGTCAACTTGAAGAGGGAGGATTTGCCATCGAACTTCTGGCCAGAGAAAAAACCCGTAGTATGTAGCCAACATTTGGAAGAAGACAGACGTCCATCCCCGTGAACACTGGGATGGAACTCAATGGGAAAGGAAATCATTCTGATTTCAACCGTTGCGTATATTAGCTGCGACATATGAATCAAGATGCTATGTACGAAAATATTTGATTGACAGATGACTGTTGACATATGATTGGTTGAATTTAGGTGTTCAGGCTGACGTAGAACCAGAGATGGGAAGTAACGAAGTGCAAATACTTCGTTACTGTACTCAAGTAGATTTTTCTGATATTTTTACTTTACTTTACTACTTATTTTTATGGCGACTTTTTACTTCTACTCCTTACATTTTTACACAAATATCTGTACTTTCTACTTCTTACATTTTAAAAAATTGGCTCGTTACTTTAGTTTTGAATCATTTCAATGGAGTTACCGTTATTTTTCACGTCATCAATACCAAATTCAATCTAATTGGATGGGAATCTACGTTGCATTTGACGCACCGCTACAAGATGAATTGACAGATTCGGCGGTATTCATTGGCGGCAAATCATTGCAGCCTGGTGGCGGTGGCGTTAGCATAGTAGCATGGACGACGAGATGATTGAAAATGAACACAACGGAGATCTAGTCCTATTGGCAGACATCCATTTAAAATGTAGGCAACGGCATGAAAAAAGTGGTTTCTACTTTTACTTTTATACTTTAAGTAAATTTACAAGCCTGTTCTTTGTTACTTTTACTTGAAGAAGTTTAAAGAAGTTTAATCAGTACTTCCACTTTTACCAGAGTATTTTTTAACACAAGTATCTGTACTTTTACTCAAGTACGGAAAGTGAGTACTTTTGCCATCTCTGCGTAGAACTAACTGGCCTGTATAAGATAACAAACAACCCCACAGATTTTAAGACAGAAATTTTCTACATTTTGAAAAAATATCATCTGATAAAGAGTACATTTATATAAATGTTTATGCCAGAATGATTTGACATGTAAATATGATTTCCCTACGACTTTAAAGAAAACAAAAACACACTAAAACTGTTGATTTAAGACACAGGAAATGATTTTTCTTGTCTTTCTGATGAAAACAGTTTTAGCGACCAGTCGATTGCATCATTCATGCTGCCCTTTCTTAGCAGCCAAAAGTTTGGACAGACATTTGATTACATTAAAAAAAAACCTCAGTGGGGAGACGAAAACAAAAACATCAAAAATACCAGAAACATTTTGATTTATTAAGAATATTTTATTTAACGAGTTCAAGTAAATGATTATCCACTCAGCTTTTATTTCTGAGCAAACCAGAATATCCTGAAAAGATCAATAAAGCTGCACAGAATCCAAGAAAAACAAAAAACAATTCCTTTACATTTTACAAGTTGAGTTTTTACTAAAAATAATGATCAACTTTTAGGTTTGAATCCGCCGATGGCTTGTCAGAACTATGCATTAGCATTTTAATCATACTTTAAGTCTTAATGTGATTAATTTGCTTGAGCAAAGAAAGAAACAAACAAACACAGGAGGAATAAAAACAAAAGATTTACATCATAGTTGCTTTCTAGAAGCTTAGAGCACTTTTTCAAAAAATAATGGAGGGTTTACAGCTTTCTTATTTACAGAAGTGGATCGACATTATCATCTCTTTTCTGCGTGCGCTTTATATATTTTAAACAATCATTTTGGAAAATGAGCAAACATACATCAAACAAATGAAGTTTTCTCTCTTAAAAGAAGCTTTGAATTCCTGGAGGTCAGGGACTCTCACATGCAGCCCATCATTCCTTCCTTTGGATCAGTGATGGAGAGATTCTGCCACTTAGATGAATGTTTAATTGCAGGGTGAGGGCGGGGGGATTAGGATGGAGAGGGGGGGGGTATTTATTGGCACTCTTTCCGACCAAAAGCCCCACAGACTGTGGATGGTGAAAACCGCTTAGGTCCACGACGGAGTCAACCTCCTCTTCCTCTGAGCAACAAGGAGCTGCTGACATGAGACATGAGGCATCCTGCTGAGTCACAACAGCAGCACTGACCTGCAGGGGGATCAACACAATGGAGAGGGTTAAAATCACGACTCGGCAATTTCTTTTTAACCCCTTGACACCTGTATAAATATAGATGCATATTTTCAAATAAAAATAAAAACAATATTTATCCCAAAAGGGAAATTCAGTTTCTGTACAGGCCATCCAAGAACACAGAAAAGGAAAAAGACAGACATTATACACGGTGTCCGAGGTATTGCTGCTGTCAACCTTACAGTTATAAAAAATTAAAAAGTAAAGTCATATTTCAAACTTTATCCAGAAAAGAATATAATCTGAGATGGCAAAAACTGTTTTTTTTATGTATTTAAAAAGGTTATTTCCCTTTAACTCATTGCCAAACAGTTTTTTTTTATCTTTCTATTTAAAGATAAACACAATTGTAGGTTTGCAGATTTGTGACATTTATAACGGCCAATGATAGCGCACACCGTTAGGTACCAGTTGTAATAAAAATAAGAGCTTTCCAAAGGTTGGAGTAAGAAAATATTCAAGAGTGGCTGGAAGATGGAGGGGATTTCACTGGGAGTTGCAGGGAAGTGGACTGCCATTCGGCATGGAAGGGCCATTTTGAATGGCTGCTACTGTAAATAGTGTATCACATGATGCAAAGTTTACATTTATTTTCTGCCCTTTTATTCCGAAACAAAGAGAAGTATGGAGTGAACTTTGTTTCTTAAATAGAAATTAGAATAAAATGCAGCTTTAATAAACTTAGAGAGTAACTGCGGTTTTTCAGATGTAAAAAAAATTTATTCAATTTTATTTTTCCAAATGTAATTTTTTCAAACTTTGTTTTTGTCAAAATTCATCGATTTTATATTTTTTCAAGTTTTACAAATTCTCTTCAATTCAAGCCCAATGAAAATGTTGCTAATGTTCAGCAGACCGATAGAAATATCTCTTTGATCCTTGAGAAGTCTTTTCAAGTTTTACTTTAGGATTGTATTTTTTGTTTTCCAAAATTTCCATTTACAAACCATATTCTTTGCTTGCAACAATAACGGAGCAAAATTCACTTCATATATATATTATATCTATGCAGTACAGTGGCAAAAATACACAACTTCCTTGTAAAATTGCATATTTATTATATCAATATTTTATTCCCATGTCAAAATCATTACTTATATATAAAAATATCATAAATATAAAAAAAATAAACTGCATACTAGTTTTCTTTAGCAACCTTTAGTAACATTAAATGTTGCTAAAGTGATGGATACTAATAGGAGACAGTAAAGAACCCTGCAATGGGTTTAAAATGGTGAATCATCTGATCAGCGAATTTGCAGAAATATAGGGCCCTAAAATCTAATTTTTCATAGGGCCTCAAGCAGGCTTGGGCCCTGAGCTCAGATGGTGCTAATAGGCAAAGCTAATTATGTGTGTTTAGGCAGTAGAACGGTCTAGTCAAAGTCTTGGTCTAACTTTAAACCTGATTTTCACACAGGTGCCTCCTTCTTGATGCTCACTGTGTTTATTTTGCTGTTATTTTTTGAAATACCAATAAAATACCCCGAGCCTGTTGCTTGTGAGGAATGAAATTTTAAAACCGTATGAATTGATTGTGATTTTCTTTGTAATTGTTGTTTTTGTTGCTGGAAATTGTCAGCCTGAATTAAATAAATTCATCCAGTGGGTGTGAAGACCTGTGCGATTCGCTGCAAACTCTACTTAGTTGCTAACCTACCATAAAATCGTTTTTTCCCCAGATGAAACGTCTCCCAGCTTTCACATCATAGAGCAAACGCCTGTCTGTAAAGTCTTGCCGTTCCGGTTTTTAGCGTATCTGAAAAATAACGGGAAAAAAAGAAAGGAAATGAAACATCAGGTGTTTGCTTATGTTAAACATTTGAGATAAACAAGATGGCGGGTCCTGATCCATACCCGTTCAGGTTGGCTGGCTCTGAGTGATACACGTTCTTCCCCTGCTCGGCTATAGAGGGCGCATGGTGCCCAGGGGCCTGGCTCTGAGTGGCCTTCAGCGGGTGGAAGGGGATCTTCAGATCCACGTGGCTTGTGGGCAGAGACATGTGATGCGTCTCACTGATGTTCCCGTTGACGTCTTCCTTCTTGGGTTCCGGCTTGTCTGGATCCAGATGTTTGGAGTGCTTTCTTGGTGAAGACAGGTCGCTGACTTTGATGTCGGGGACGCTGACCCTCCTCAGGGTTTGCTCTGTGTTGGCCATCTGCAGTTTCTTCATGTGGTTGATGGCTACAGCGGCGTTGATGGCCTGCTGTAAAGAGAAGAGAGAAACAAAAGGCTTTATCTCAACCAGTAATTTCATTATGGGGGGAAATTTGTTTCACTATTTTAGACAAGAAAGAACATGTATTGTAAATAGGAATTTGAAAGATTTTGTACATAAAAGTGTGAAATAAGTAAATGAAAATTTGAATAAAAGCATTTTGCTAATTAAAACAAAGAAAACATTTGTAGATAAAAATATAAATACAGTAAATAGATATCTAGTTTATAGAAAAAAATGTTTAGTGAATAAAAAAAAAAAAGGTTCTGAGGAAAGAGATACTGCAGGAAAAAAAACAAATGTTTTTTTTTTCTCTTCAGTGTCCCTTTAGGGGCTCTGTAAAAACTTACTCTCAAAAAAGTTTTTTGATTAAGAAAGTTTTTAAAGTTACATTTTTGGATCACTTTTTTTTTTTTTCCCATATGTCTGTTGACCTTTTTTTTTCTTATTTCCTTTTACAAAAGTATAAAAAAAATGTTTTTATTTCCATTTAAAAAAAAAATTTTTTCCAAATTTGCATTTACAAAACTGTTGTTCTTCTTTTTCTTTTTTTTTAAAAATGTCCATTTCCGTAGAAACTTACTCTCAAAAATCTTAAGAACTTTTTTAAAGTTACAATTTTGGATAACATCTTTTATTTCAAGTTTCTGTTTACAGAATTTGATCCTTGTCTTTATTTCCATTTACAAAACTACAAAAACAAAATACGAATTTCCACTTTTAAATGTTTTTTTTTTTATTATTTCAATTTACAAAAATTAAAAAAATAATAAAATTTCCATTTTTTTTTTTCAAATATACATTTACAAAACATGTTCTTCTTTTTCTCTTTTTAAAATTTCTATTTACCTATTTTTACATTTCTCTTTAAAAAATAATTTCCATTCAAATGTTTTTTTTAAATTGGAACAAAATTCATTCCATACACATAACCACAAAGCAGTTTTAATCCGAAGGCAACCAGACTTTGCTTCATATTATTTTTCCTTCACTGGGAAATTTTTATTGAAATAATAATGAAGAAAAAATACAGATCAGTTCTGTTCTCAATGCCAGTAAAAAAAAAACACGCCCTCATTAGGTAACTTTAACGTCAGCACATCGTAATCAACTGGCCTTAATCGGGTAGGATTTAGGCAAACACCTGGCTAATGGGCTCCAAATCGCAACTTAACGTTACATCACTTTAAAGCCAAGAATCAGTGCGGACTGACCTTCCACTTGGACTTAGCAAAGTTCTTCTGGATCTGAATGCTGACGGAGTAGTAGATGTCTTGGCTGCGGGCCGTCTTTCCGATAATCCTGGAGAACAGACAACAGAAAGCTTAGATTTATTTCAAGGTGGAGATTAAGTCGTTACGTATCTGTGGTACGCAACCGTTCATCTAATTCTCTAAAGCAGGAATCTTCAGGGCAGGGACCCCCAACCTGGAGCAGGGACCCCTTAATTATATATAATGTATGGAATAGTGTTCTATCAAACTGGTCCTATAGTCACTCTATTACAGATGGAGTAATGTAACTAAAGTAATCCCTCCCTGGGATTATAAAGTATTTCTGGTTCCTGGTTGACGGGACAGGCGTTGTGGATGAAACGGTGCCCAGCTTCCCCCCCAATTGCAGGGGGGAATATTTAAAAAAGTCTAATCAGCCAAAACTTTTGCGACCCCCATGCAGTTCCTCCGTGGACCCCCCTAGGGGTCTCAGACCTCCTGTTGAAGACCTCCACTTTAGGGCGTCTGAGCAGATTTATATTTTTTTATGAAAGTAAATGAGTCCAACCCACCAAGGATGTCTGAGAGCTTGCTCTGTGGAGTAACGCATGCTGGGGTTCTTCTGCATCATGTTGCGAATGAAATCCTTTGCTGCAGAGTAAAAGTAGGAAACTTAGAGGGGCAAAGAGAAATAAACACTAAAATGAAGAAGTTCTTTTTAGATAGAAGTCAGTAAAATTACCAGATTCTGATATGTCATCCCAAAAGGGTGAATCAAACTCATACTGCGCCTTCATAATCTTGGAAAAGAGTCTGGTTTCACTTTCTTCATAAAACGGAGGATAACCACAGAGTCTGTAATAAAAACATTAATTAATTATTCCTTTAAAGACACACAGGCTGTGTGATGGTGTTTACTGCCAGTAGAGGGAGCTGCTGCACACTTTGATTCACTTTAAACATGTTCACAATATGGACATGTGTTTATATGTTCATATTTAAGTCTCATCATGAATATTTGTTGACTCTAGGCCCAACTATGGAGTGAAGTTTGTTTCATTATTGTTTTAAGCAAAGAACACGTTTTTATTTGGAATTTAAAAAGTTTAAAAAATAAAACTTTACAACGTCTTGATTAAGAACAGGTTTCAGAATAACTTTTTTGCATTCTCTGGTTTTATTTTTCCAAATTAATTCGTTTTCCTTTTTTTTAGATTTTTTTTGTTTCTTTTTTTTAAGATGTTATATTTTCAAATTTTATTTTTCAGATTTATTTTTTACGTATTGTATTCCTTTCCAATCGTGTTTTCCAAATCACTGTTTCTATACTTCTGGGGGCGGGCTTTACTGTGGAGTGAGGAGCAAAGACGCATTTCTATTGGTCTGCTGGACGTTAGCAACGTGTGATAGGCTGATAGTGAAGAGAACGTGATCTGTGAAACAACATTTTAAAAGAATGCAATTCAAAAAACTAAATCTGACAAATAATCTGAAAAAATAAAATAGAAAATTTAAACTCTGTAAAAGAAAATGTTAAAGTTTGAAAAATGTAAAATTTCACAAAGTAAAAAACACCATTTGAAAAAATAAATGAAAGAAAACAGTAAAATTACTATTAAAACCTCGTTTGGATTAATAAGTTTTGCATTTTTAAAATTTTCCATTTACAAAATGTGTTCTTTGCTTGCAACAATAATGGAACAAATATCACTCCATACATTTGGACATGCGTTTTTTTGTCTGCATCCCTGTAATCCCATATTTCTTGCCTCTTGTTTTTTTTCAATGAATGAATGAGTAAAGAAATCGTTCCGTCTGTAATGTGAAAATGCATTTGCTAAAAGAAACAAAAGGATACTTACAAGATGTAGGTAATAACCCCAATGGACCAGCAGTCTACTGCCTTGCTGTAGGGCTTCTGTGCTAGAACTTCAGGCGCTGAGAATGAGAAGAAATGTTAGAGATGTTAATGATGAGCATTCAGCATGAATCAGATTATTTCTGGTTTTTAATTACTTTTCATAACTGTCTGCAGGTTAGTCCCTTACCTACGTAACCTGGGGTTCCGCAGGCTGTAGACATGATGCCATTTTCCGCCATCTTTGACAGGCCGAAGTCACTGATCATGATCTTAGAGTCCTCATCCTGGCTGTAATAGAGGATGTTCTCTGGCTGCGGGGGGGCAGATAGAAAAGCTGTTAAAACATCGACTGTCATGTTCATTTGTTATAAAGTATCACTGATGATGGATCAGATGGTGGAAAATGTAAAAAGCAGAAGAGGAGCTTTTCCTGTCCTATTGATTCTAAAACCGTCGACTTTAGCATCACAGCAGAAACAGAATAAAAAAACAAAAGCAGCCTCCGCTTTATTTCTTTATATGTTTAAAAAAATCATAACTCGGATGATGAAGCTAATTTCTGTGACATGCTCTGTTAAACTTTTGGACAAAAGCAGCTTAGAAATCCGTGTCATTTTTTACCCTTAAACCGATACGGTCGGGGCGGGACTAAGGTAACATGAGATGTAGGTTGATGATTGACACTTTAGGCACCTGAAAAAAGTGTTCCCATGTGTTGCATTCATGAACAGTGTGAATTAAAAAATGTCTTAAAATATATATAATTGAAAATAACGTTTCTTTTTAGTTTAAATCTTGTTTTTTCTGATTAAAAAATTGTTTAAAAAATGCTTTTCCTAATAAATTTTTTCAGTTTCAAATCTTTTAAATATAATTTTTTGTTTACATTTTTTTTTTTTTTTTTTTTACAGTTTTAGTTGTTACATTTTATTTGTGCTTTCAGTTTCAAATCTTTCAGTTTAAATTTAAAAAAAGTTAAAAATTAGAAATAGAAAAGAAAAATGGCCCCAATTTAGCGCCATACAGCCTCCATGGAGCATTGATAAGCTCCGAGTGTTGTATTGAGGTAAAAAAAATATTTAAGGTCTTTCAAATGAAGGTGATAGTTACTTGCTGTGTTGCTTTATAATCAACGTGGAGACTAGAATTAATCTTCCCAGATAATATCCCAGATTTCAATAGTTTGTTTTATAGTTTCTCTAAAAACAGTTTTTTCAGACAGTGTAGAAGAAAATGGCTTCCAGATGTGAGGGTGCGTTCCACTTTTAGTCAGAATATCTAAATCTAAAAGTTGGAAAAAGCAACTGGAACCTCCAACGAAGTGAATTTCAAATCTTTAAAATTGGGGGTCCAACCTCCACCTCCAGATCAAAAAATAAATTTTTTATAGATGTTTGAGATCGGCCTGTTTTCCAGTGTGGTCCTGTCTCTCGCGCTGTGGCTAGCTGGATGTGCTCTCTTCGTCCTCTGGCGTGGGGGTTGGCATGTGGGTTCGTCAGCAGATGGCCGCTCACACTGAACCAGATTCTGCTGGAGGTTTTTCCTGTTATACGGGAGTTTTTCCTCTCCACTGTCGCTACAAGTATACCTAGTCTGAGGGATTGCATCTGAGTTATTGAGTCGATGCAATCAGCTGGTTTTCCTTAGATAGAAAACTTTGAATCAATCTGACTGGATGATCTGGTGAACTGGAAACTGCCTTGAGATGACGTGTGATGTGAATTGGCGCTATAGAAATAAACTGAATTGAATTGAAATATGGCAACCACCTATTAGTACTGATGGCATTCAATAACTGCTTATTTATTTCTGGGCCTCACCTTGAGGTCTCGATGGACGATGCCGTTTTGATGCAGGTAGCCGACGGCCTCCAGCACCTGCTGGATCACCCTGCTGGCGTCCTTCTCTGAATAAACGCCTCGGTCCAGAATACGGTCGAACAATTCACCACCTGCAACGCTGGAGTAGAGACAGGACACTGTTCAAACCCACTCATCTCTGTCTGGAGGAGGATCAAACAGAAACTCACAGCTGCATGATGAGATAGTAATGCGTCCGACTTTCGTAGAAATCTTCCATCCCAACAACATTTTCATGCTGGATTCTGTTTGGAAACAAGAGAGGCATTGGTTACGCCGCCATAGAGGTCAGTCTCTGCGGATGCAGGATGGGAGGTTAATTAAACAGTCATTACTTTCTCAGCACAGCGATCTCGTTCTCCAGGTTGATGTCCCTCTTCTTTTTCTTCTTTATACATTTCATAGCGAACGTCTTTCCTGTCTTCCGCTCTCTCACCATGAAGACCTCAGAGAACGCCCCCCTGTTGAAGACCCACGAGGGAACATAAGACAGTGAGACGCTGAGATCGGTGTTCCTAAGAAACGCTTTCTAGGTTCTTCTCTGGTGGGAGGAAATGAGCGTTTCCTCTGAGAGATGGCTGCTTTTCCTCCTCTGTTACCGTTCAGTTTGTTCAAGCTTTTCTTTTACAGAAAGTTATAATTAAAATACTCAGTTGTATGGAGTGAATTGTGTTCTATAATTGTTGCAAGCAAAGAGCATGTTCTGTAAATGGAAATTCGAAACAAACGCAATCTAGAAATGACACGTCTTAAAATAAAATGATCTTTTGAGAGTAACTTTGCCCTTTTCTTAGATTTTATTCTTTTAATTTGATTCAATTCAGTTTATATAAAAAGAGCCATTCCACTTCTGTTCTCTCAAGGCTTTTTTCATTTCTAATTTTTTCAGATTTTCTATTTTAAATTTTTATGAAAATGATCAGATTTAATTTTTTTTCTGATGTTTTTTTTATTTTATTTTTCAGTTTGTGTTTCACATATTTACAGATCACATTCTATTCACTCCAAGCCCAATACAAACGCTCAGTCATGACCAATAAAAGGTATTGCTACACTCGAAAAACGAACTAGAAATAAGTAAAAATTGTATTTAACCTGCATTTGAGTAGGTAAATTAGATAATTTGCCAATGGAATTAGTGTTTTTACTCTTAAAGTAAGATAGATAGATAATATGCCTTTGTAATAATTTTATTTTCTTATTTTAAATCTAAATAGTCTTGTTCCATTGGCAAAATGTCTCTTTTATCTCCTCAATTCAGGAACAAATGCACTTGTTTTAAGAATAAATTACTTATCTAGATTTTGATTTTTTCCAGTGTAACGCCAAACAGACCAATAGAAATGCATCTTTACTCTTCACTACAGAGGAAGGCCCGCCCCCAGAATTGAAGGAAATTGAATCTGGAAAATTTTATTTTGAAAAATTTATTTTTTATTTTTATTAATTTGGATTATTTCAAACAAAAAAATATTTTTTTGAATGAAAGTTTTTTTTTTTTTTTTTTTTTTCTGATCTTGATTTTATTAATAAATTCCATTAACGAAGATCTCCTTTCTTGCAAAAAAATATGGAACGAAATTCCCTCCATACAGCGGCCCTGGAAAGGCACTGCAGCTTTTATTCCTGATCAAATATATCTAACACCAAGGGTTTAAAATCACTCCAATTTATAGGATCTAGATTTCCAGATTTGAGTTTCTTAGAATTCCCCTAAACAAAAGTAAAGAGAAAACCTCATCATGAGGTTAAGACCTCCTGATTAAGTCTGCAGCTTAACTATTCACATGTCAGAAGTCTGTTATTTTGCTCTGGCAGCGTTACGTCCTGTCCCCATGCTATCTTCAGCCCCAGTCTGGGAATAGTTGTTCCAGCGGGAGGATTAGGACCATTTATCCCTGACGCAATGGAAACAGCGGCCAGCTGAGGGCTCCAGGCCCAAAGGTCAGACTCTGAGCCTGTGGAGGGGGGGGCAGACACTGAGCGGGTCAGGTCACAGACAGGTGTCAAGGTTTGGAGGCAGACATGATGATCAAGCTGCCATCTGTTCAGAAGCTGACACACTTTTTCAGAGATGGAAAAAAGGTCAGAACTGATCTGAACTGCAGTTATTTTGTATTTTTATGTCTCAATTTGCCGAAATTACTACAGTTAATCAATTATTATAGCATATATATATATATATTTCTCCTTAATAAACTAGAAGACAATATATGCAGTTAATAAAGCATTATTTATTACGAGGTGTCGGATTTAAAAATTGGCAGATCTTAACTGCAATATTTGCATTTCTGTGGCTCAGTTTGCCTTTATTACTCATTAGTGATGCTTTAAATGCCAACAAATATTCAGGCAGCGTTATGGACGACTAAAACAAGCTGGTATATTAGCTGATATGAGTATTAGTTCCAAAAGGTGAAGGCATTGTATTTATAATGTAAATTTTTTTTTTAAAACAAAACCTAAAATAAACTGAAACTAAAAAAGAAAAACTTTTAACCTTGACAGCCATGTTTCACAATATTTTCACATGTTCTTTTGTTTAATTGGAATATTTTTTATGGAAGCAGGTTTGAACATTATAATGTTCAAAAACCATTTGACATACATAAATAATAATAATAAATGTTTAGGACTGAGTGCAAAGCCATGTGCTACGCCATACATATGGAAATGTGTTTTAATTCTACTAATATATCTCTTTCCTTCTGAGTATATAAGAATAGCAAATATAATAGCAAAAATGTTTAGTTACTAAAGCATTATTATTTAAGCTGTTTGATTTTTAACTCAATGCAATGAAATCACAAAGGTTTTACTTATGGAACGTGTTTTTATCGGCTACCCATAAATCCCTCAGGATCATCTATTGATGATCTAGATAAGTCATTTTTTCTTGAAATAAATGCATTTGTTCTTGGATTGAGGAGGTAAAAGTGACATTATGCCAATGGAACAAGACAATTTACACTTAAAATAAGAAAACACAATTGCATCGTCTTATTTCAAGTGCAAATTATCTAATTATCTTATTTTAAGAGTAAAAATACTGATTCCATTGGCAAACTACCTCATTGACTTACTCAAATTAAGGGTAAATAAACTTAATTTAAGAAAATTCTACTTATTTCTAGATCGTTTTTCCAGTGAGCACATTACACTGGAAAAATTCAAAATCTAAATAAGTATTTTTTTCTTAAAATAAGTGCATTTGTTCTTGAATTGAGGAAGTAAAACAGACATTTTGCCAATGAAACAAGAAAATTTACATTTAAAATAAGAAAACACAATTGCATTGTCTTATTTCAAGTGCATTTTATTTAAATATCTTATTTTAAGAGTAAAAATACTCATTCCAGTGGCAAATCATGTCATTTACCTACTCAAATTAAGGGTAAAAACGCTTAATTTAAGACATTTTTACTTATTTCTAGATAGTTTTTCCAGTGCAACCCTAAGCTTTAGTTTCGCAGGTCGTTCTGGGAAATAAAAGGCAAAAGCTTCTTAAAGAGAAAACAGACTCCTTCAGTCTTATCGGTGCTGATGTTTGCAGAGGAAAACTCACTTGATGACTTCTGATGGGAAAACAAAAGAATCCAGGTGAAGGTGTTAAAAACCGTGGATGTTATTGAACGCCACTTTGGTTGAAGGATTCACAGTAAATGCATTTTGGTTGAGAATTCTCATTGATCAAACATAAATACTGAATTTTCTCTTCTTATCACGATCTTGATATAAACCAGATAAAAATCTTGTTTTTTGGAGCAAATGATGTTTCCAGATCTACATGGATGCGTTTTAAAAATGAGCTTTTCTCTTTTAGAAACATTAACGGAAGGTGAGAAGGTCACAAAAATGGCGACAATTTTCCCGCAACATTTTGGACAAAAACACAAAATCACAGTTCTCTGAAATATAGAATATAGAATAGTTGTGTAGCCAAATAATAAAGTTTAGCTTCCTTATCTAAAATTAGGGCAACAGATTTAAATTACTGTAGCAACCTATTAATCTATGGATTCTTTTTATTAATTAAAAAAAGCACATTTCTAAGAAAAAAAGTATTTAGGATTTAAAAAGAAATTAAATATTTTACATTAATTTTAAATGGCAAAGAGATGAAAGAAAATAAACGTTTCTATACATGTAGTCAAGTCAGCATTCCCCAATAATGTGTAAATATTAAAGCATTTAAATTTTGTTTTAATTATATAATAGTGCATTTAATTATTTGTGCATTTTACAATTCAATGGTATATTTATTATTTGTATCTTGTATTAAATAAATGATTAAATATCACAAACACCCATTTAGTGAGACGTTTTTTTATAATATATTTTGGCCTCAGAATACGTGAGGAGCCGCATCACAGTGATTGTGAAAAACGACTCGTGACCCGTCACTTTGGGACTAAGTTCCAATTCAATTACCAAATTAGTTTATGAACTTTAACAAGTGATTAATGGTGATTAATCAATATATTAACAAAACAAGAAGATCATTTTTATGTATTTTTAGAAGTCAGACTAAATGTTCAGATCATTTTTAATTTTTTTTTTACATTTCTTCTTTCTATAAACTGTATTTTTTTGTGAAGTGAAATTGTAGCTTTGAGTTTTACCCTCAATTGATAAAATGATTTAAATAAAGCTTATAAATTTGTTCATAATGTGACAAAACTTATTCGGATTAATGGAGTTGCATGTCTCATAGTGACACATTTTTCCCAGATAATTATATATTTTATTGAAAGGAAAATAGTGACAGATGGTCTCCCCGTTTTTAGTGAATGAACACCATCAGGAGAGTCGGACTAAAACTTAAACAAAGTAGGCCTTCTTATCTCAATCCAATCAAACCACTAATCTCTTCCTTTACCTCCAGCTGTGCAAAACTTTTCACCGACGGAAATACTTACGATCCCAACTCTTCAATGAAGTCAAAAATCTCCTGGATGTTTTCCGTGTTCTTCTTCCAGGCGTAGTCGCCCTCCTGACGACCCATGTCTGCAGCTGGGATTTCCTTGAAGACGAAGCAGAACAAACAAGCGTAGATGTTAGCGAGGAAAGAAGCTCCACGGTGACCTGGTTCCCTCCTATGAGTGTCTAAGGGCTGCATGGGACGAGATCCCTGATCAGTGTGCCGCCTCCTCCATCACGATGATCATCATATATCCAGACGGTTATGAGGGATTAGTTAAGTCATGACAAAGCGGTTATGAAGGTTGATGTGTCTGCTGCACAGCTTAGACGGTCTTACAGGAGAGCAGGCAGACAGACAAAAGGTGAGCACCATAATCTGATCTGAAGCCATGTCTCAGTTTGCTGCAGATACTGACATCCGTGCATCAACAAAGCAAAGCTAGAAATACGAAGAAATTATGATTAAATCAAAGGTTCCTGAAGGAGAAGTTAAAGCTAAAAGGTGCAGATGAGGATTAGGAGCACTTTTAATGAGCAGGTTACCCAGTTTTGCTTTTCTCTTATATAAGAGATTAAGTGACTCCTGATCTGGAGACCTGATCTTCTCAAAGCCCAAACAACATTTATCGCCTTGTAAATTAAACTAAAACTCTAAAATAAGTTAATTTAATGGAGCTTTGAGAGCAAATCCAGTTTTCCTTTTTTCTCCACATTAATAAAAGATCCTGCAGCACAAGTGGAGATGTTAGCAAAACAGAAGCTCTGCAAGGAAAAACATGCAACAATTTGATTTAAACAAAAAAAAAAGATAAATGCATGGATGTAGCATCAGAGGCTGCAGCAACATGATGAAAAGAAATAATTCCTACTCTTATATTGTTTCATCTAAAGTGTTTTTAGCAAAAAATATAGGAATTTTCTTATAAATGAAGAGATAAGAAGACAAATGCCCCTCTAATAACGGAGAGAATGATGCATCCATGCAGCATCAGAGGCTGCAAAAACAGGATGAAAAAAATACATTTCTCCTTTATATTGCCTAATATAAAGTATTTTAACAAAAAAAACTAAGATTTTTCTTATAAATGAAGTGATAGATAAGAAGAAATATGCTCCTCTAGTAACAGAGAGAGCAATGCATCCATGCAGCATCAGAGGCTGCAGCAACAGGACTAAAAAATAAATAAATTCAAGCTGCAATGGAAACAATCACAAATTCAGGTCAGGTTTAAAACCAGGACAGAAAAACAGGAAAAAAGTCTCTACCTTCAGTTTGTTTTAAACTAAGCAGTTAAAGATAAAGCCTCTAGCAGCTGAGACTCACCTACAAGCTCTGTTCAGTGAAGCAGTGCGACTCTCCAAGCTCTCCAGGATCTGGCAGGTTGCTGCGTCTTGGAGCGCTCAAGTAGCCTTCGGTCGTCACGTTGGAGATTATTGCTTCCCCATGGAGAGAGAGCCAGGGAGGGGAGGGGGGGCTCATTGAGACTCAGAGCAGATCACATGGCTGATGCTGCTGCCGCATCATTCATCTGCTGCAGCAGTGGGGGCAGGTGGAGCACGGCGTGGATGGCATGTGCTGTTTTTTTCCTGGGTAACATCGACAGAGCAGAAAAATATTAAAGATCAACATCCTTTTGAGAAAAAAATGTTTTGTTTTGTAATTCCAGCATTTCTATCATTTCTATCATCGGATACAGATGGGGGCAGGAGGGTATGAGGTGAAATTTATTCCATTATTAGTGCAACAAAAGAAGTTTTGTTAATGGAAATTTGACAAAATGTGAAAACAAAAACTGCTATCAGGAAATGGAACTTTGCAAAACTTCTGAATTTAAAGAAACATTTTGAGAGTAACTGTTCTGTTTTGTCCCATTTGTATTTTTTGAAAAAAAAAAATCTTATTTTCTTAAATAATTTAAATTTCTCCTTTTCAGAGTTTCACAGACTGCGGGGGGATGGGGGAGGATCCCTCAGAACGATCTTGAGAGTTTCACTTGTAGGAGGAATGTCTGATTTCCTTCCACACCTGCTGCCTCAGTAACCCAACAGACAAGAATTCTCCCGACTTTACACGAGTGAATATAGTGAATGTGATTGGTCGTTTATCAAGGGGGCGGGATTGTTGTGGTGGAAGGTTCGCAACTGCATTTGGTTATGGCCAGTGTCTCTAAAGCATCTTGCTAACCAGTTAGCAACTTAGTGCTAGTAGGTTCCCAGTGTGAAATTCCATTGGGACCAAGTAGCACTAAATTGGTGACTTAGAAACGACGCTGTCGAGGAACGCTATGGACAGCGGAAACATGCAAGAGGAGGAGAGTTTAGTGTCGGAGGTCGTGGATGAGTCTCCTCCGTCATCCATTTTTTATTTAGAGGAGGAAAGCGGGGACGAAGATGTTGTGGAAGAGGACGCCAGGGCGGTAGAAGCTTGGTTTGGTGTAGAAGGCTTCCAGCCGTACATGTTTGAGCCCTTGCCTCGCAACGCTGCCAGTTCTGTTAGCTCAATGTAACGCTTGTTAAAGGCTAATGAAAAGGAACTGACTATATAGATGTAGAAAGATGTTACCAGAAGAGGGTTAGTTGAGGAGCCCGAGGTGTGAATAATCACAGAGACAAAAATAAGGTTTAACTAGTTTTGTATTAAAGTGGCCAAGACACACACAAAAAAAAAAACAACAAACACACAAACATTAATAACAAAACAGTTTTTGATTAATTGTCCCCAAGGTTCAGTTAGGTTAGATTATTAGTCCATACGCTATGGTAATCCAGGGTTGAGAAGAGAATAGTTTTTATCCTTATAGGAAAGAAGAGTCTGTATCCTACCGCACAGGTAGAGGTCTTAGCTCGCCATCTTCAGTTGAATTAGAAAAAGAAAAAGTTGTTGTGAACCAGATTGTAGTGAGGGTGATGTCCTTTTTCTGGCATAAAAAAAAAACCTGACCTAGAATGGTCAAAAAAACAACAAATGAGCAGTTGTTCTTAACCAATGAGATCTGCATGTTTAAAATATGTGTGCATTAAATTTTGGAACACATTTATACATGCAGATAGTTTTCCATATTTACACATTTTACCAATATATATATATATATATATATATATATATATATATATATATATATATATATATATATATATATATATATATATATATATAGCTATAACAAATAACTATATAAATAAATAAATCGTTTAACAGATTATCACAAAAGTTTTAGATACTCAAAAACACATTGTAATCAAGTGCACTTTTTTCCCATAAATCATGAATATTCAATGTATAAAAAAAAAACTCTTTTCCAATTAAATTACTTGAGCAGAGAAAAATACTCAAGCAGATCTTAAGTTGCGCAACAAATTCCACAAGTACGTAGCTACATTCAATTATTTACTTAATTTTCAATGAGGTAAGAGGAAGGAAGAAAAAAAAAAAACTAAACCTCATTGCTTTTCTAATGATCCAGTCAAAAGCTGGAAAAAAAAAAGTGCAAAATGAAACAAAAGTGCAAACAAAAGGGGCGCTTCTGTTAAACTAAAATGTAAAGCACAATTCGGCTTGAATGTAAATTAAAAATAATTTATATTAAACAAGCAGAAGCGATATTTTACACACTACAAACGTAGTTCAAAATTCATAATAACGCTGGGACTCAGCGCGGCAAGGAATTAAGTGGAGGCAGCGGTACAAACAAAAGACGCAAATCGCGGAATATAAACTTAAATCTATCCGCTGCAAACAAAATAAATGACCCGAATCGGAGTTAAAAACTCACCGTTGAAGGGATGACAAGTTGATCTCCGTCTGTGTAGTGGTATTAATGAAAGACAACATGAGCGGTTTGGCCCAAGTTGTGAGAGAGAAGCGAGTCTGTAAAAAGTTACGCTTGGTGAGTAATCACACGATGTTAGTAAACATTAGGAGATTGGTTTTGTAGCGTTAAAACACTCACCCAAAAGACAGCTTATAATATTAGATCTTTAGGAAGATCCAGTAACTTTTTTTGAAACGAGACGCCAACAGAGCATGCGACAGCCACAGGTGGGGAATGGAGGAGGGAGTGGCACTCTGACTCTGCAGGTAAATAGAGTTGGGGTGATGTCGCACAGGGCGTGGCCCGTCAAATTAAAAGGACTTAGGAGCTGAGGGCTACATCTACGCCTGCCGAAGACACAGACGTCTAGTTAGAAGTATAGGGCATGAATGGAATCTTAAAGGAATATTAGGAAATGAAGGAAACATAACAGATATTCATAAACTAAGGAAAGCATTGTTTTTGTATCTTAAGAATACAAAATTAAAAAATAGAATCTAATAGATGTGAAGTAACGCTGCTACACACTCATGTACAGTAGGTGGCGGTATGCACCTTAAAGTTGCTTGTGATCCGCCATAATAGAAGAGAAGAAGAAGAAGAAGACACAGACGTCCATCCCCGTGAACACTGGGACGCAACTCAATGGGAAAGGAAAGGATTCTGGTTTCAACCGTTGCGTATATTAGCTGCGACATATGAATCAAGATGCTATGACCGAAAAAATTTGATTGTCAGATGACCGTTGATATATGATTGGCTGAATTTAGGTGTTCAGGCTGATGGATAACTAACTGGCCTGCATAAGATAATAAAAAAAGTTTTTAAATAGAAAATTTAAAAATTTTGGGACATTATCTGATAAAGAGTACATTTATAGGCCAGAATAATTTGACATTTAAATATGACTTCCTATGACTTTAAACAGGCATTACAGAGTTTTCTAATGATGCTGCCCCCTATGGCCAAAACACAGAACTGCAGCACTCTTCTGCTTGTTCTTTGAGCTTGCACTTGTACTTACATTAACCCTACATTGAGTTGTCATTGGTGTCTGAGTGTGCATAAAACCACGCAAAAGTTCTGCAACCGTCGTTGTGCACCTTCTGACTACGCGTCGGACAGTCACAAACTCGCGCATACCTCAAGCGGAAGTGCTCAGACAAAAAGCAGCTGTGATTGGTCCTTGGTATGCCTTTCCGGCTGTCTGTGTGGTCGTCCTTCTTGATTCGATGCCGGGGCGCACCATTTTTAAAAACCGAGGAACACTTACAATGGACAACTATGACGATAGGTTGCTCGAGGAGGTTCGCTCCATTAACAGAACCTGTTCCTCTTCGATGTCTAGCAATTCTAAATCCATATCCATGACCGTGATATCTTGCAGACGCACCATTGTTGCTTGGAAGATAAACTCTCCCGCCGGTGCCGCTGAAGTTCTCGTGACCATCCGCCAAAGTTCTCGCGAGTTCACGAAGAGGCTTCCCCTTGTGTTCTGGCAGGAAACTGCTGCGTGTTCCCAGAAATTCCAGACCGATGGCGCAGCAGTAAAAACTTCATAATGTCTTTTTAAATGATTGAGTTCTACTCCTTTATTCAGCAGGCACCACAGCATGTTATTTCTACCCAGGAACCCCTCAAATCCGGAATGTACTCAGCTTCACCTCGCAGGGATGGACACGAATGAGGACTGTCAACATCTGTTCAAGCATTGAGTGTCAGGAAACCTTCTGGAGATGCATTCCAAAAAAAGAAAATTAAAACAATCCACTGGACTTTGTTTCAAAGTTTGAAGACATTTCTCTTCCATCCAGGAAGCTTTTTCAATTAAAAATGTCAGAAATAACGTTGAGTTCCAGGCTTTATACAGGAGCCCAACAAAGTCTTGATTTAGTTTTGAAAACATGCAAACTGAATGGGGGTCGTTTGGTTTCTTTTGTTAGCCTGCCCATACCTGTCTATGTCTCTGAAAGGGGGGTCATTAAAGGGAATTGTTGACCTGGCTGAATAGGCGAGGTCCTCCGCTCTCCTGTAAAGGGGCTGGGGCTGCGATGATAGTGGGAAGGGTTTTTCTTTTTTAACATAGATGGCTTCCTTTACGCCCCTTTCCAACCACCTGTCTTCTTTGTCCAGAATATAAACATTCTTGTCCTCCAAAGAATTTCTTTTGTCCATAAGGTGTAGATCCATCACAGAGTCTTTTCCCAAAGAGGTCGATCTTCTGTGTTGGACCATGCATCTGTGGAGAGGTCTGGTTTCTCCAATATAAAGATCAGATCATTCCTCACTGCATTGAACTGCAGACACCACTCCGCTCACCTTAGGTCTGGGAGTTTGTCTTTAGGATGCACTACTCTCTGTCTAAGGGTCGTTTGGTTTGAAATGTACTGGGATTTTGTGTTTGGAGAAAATCCCTGTGAGTTTTTCAGAGACTCCAGCAACATATGGGATAGCGTTGTTTTTGCGATTGATCTTCTAACCGTTATGTTGCATTTTGCATGTATTTTGGATTTCCTTGCTAATTGGACAAATGCCCAGTTTGGGTATCCACAGGTTTGGAGAGCATTGATGTGTTTCTGTTCTTTGTGCTTTCTGGAGATGCAAAGATGATCTTGATCTAGGGATGGGAATCGAAAACCGGTTCCTGTTC